ACGTACACACACACCCACGTACACACACACGTACGTACACACACACGTACGTACACACACACACACGTACGTACACACACGTACGTACACACACACATGTATGTACACACACGTACGTACACACACACGTATGTACACACACGTACGTACACGCATGTACACACACGTACGTACACGCATGTACACACACGTACGTACACACGCACACACGTATGTACACACACGTACGTACACACACGTACGTACACACACACACGCACGTACACACACACACACACGTACACACACACACGTACGTACACACGTACGTACACACACACGTACACATACGTACGTACACACACCCGCGTAAACACACGTGCGTACACACACACACGTACGTACACACACACGTACGTACACAGACACGTACGTACACACACACACGTACGTACACACACACGTACGTACGTACACACACGTACGTACACACACGTACGTACACACGCGTACACACACGTGCGTAAACACACACGTACGTACACACACGTACGTACACACACACGTAGGTACACACACGTACGTACACACACGTACGTACACACACGTACGTACACACACACGCGTACACACACATAGGTACACACACACACACGTACACACACACGTACGTACACACACGTACACACACACGTACGCACACACACGTACGTACACACACGTACGTACATACACGTAGGTACACACACACGTACGTACACACACGTACGTACACACACAGGTACGTACACACACACGCGTACACACACACGCGTACGTACACACACATAGGTACACACACACGTACGTACACACACACACGCACACACGTACACACACACAAGTGCGTACACCCTCTCGCTGCGCATGCACACGAAGCACTTTGGCCACGAATGAACAGTGATGCCTCGCTGTTGCATTTCGTCTGCAAGGAGCAAAATATAAACCATCATCATCACCGTCATCATCACCGTCATCATCATCATCACCATCATCATCGCCGTCATCATCACCATCATCATCATCACCGTCATCACCGTCATCATCACCGTCACCATCATCATCACCATCATCATCATCATCGCCGTCATCATCACCATCATCATCATCACCGTCATCACCGTCATCATCACCGTCACCATCACCACCATCATCATCATCACCACCACCGTCATCATCACCATCATCATCACCGTCATCATCACCATCATCACCATCATCGTCACCGTCTCCATGACCGTCATCATCATCATCATCACCGTCATCATCATCGCCGTCATCATCACCATCACCGTCATCATCATCATCACCGTCATCACCGTAATCATCACCGTCATCACCATCATCATCACCACCACCGTCATCATCATCATCACCGTTATCATCACCATCATCATCACCATCACCGTCATCACCATCATCATCACCACCACCGTCATCACCATCATCATCACCATCACCGTCACCGTCATCATCACCACTGTCATCACCATCACCGTCACCATCACCGTCACCATCACCGTCATCACTACCGTCATCATCATCATCACCGTCATCACCACCGTCATCATCACCATCACCATCATCACCATCATCATCACCACCACCGTCATCATCATCACCATCATCATCACCATCACCGTCATCATCATCACCGTCATCATCACCATCATCATCACCATCACCGTCACCGTCATCATCATCACTGTCATCACCGTCACCATCACTGTCACCGTCACCATCACCATCACCGTCACCATCACCGTCATCACCACCGTCATCATCATGGCCATCATCATCACCACCGTCATCATCATCACCGTCATCACCACCGTCACCATCACCATCACCGTCGTCATCACCACCGTCATCACCACCGTCATCACCACCGTCATCATCACTGTCACCATCACCGTTACCATCACCGTCACCGTCACCATCACCGCCCTCCACATTTAGAAGCGACGTCTCCACCGCGTTCGGAGATTCTTTAGCCGCTGCACGAAATCTCCGCGCGACGCCGAAGATGACGACGATATCGACGATATCGTCCACGTCGCTGAGCGGATATCGACGCTCACAAACAAATCGACACACACACATAAACACACATATATATACACGTGAACCTCATGGCTGTACCCCCCCCGGCTCGCGCGTAACGTCCCTGACGCAGTCAATCGGCTCGTCTCTAAGAGCTGTGCACGATGCGCCATTCAAAGTTCAAGCTTCTCGATGACGGACTTCGTCATGCTCACGTTTGGGCGTTCCGGCATCGAGGATTGGCGCGCCGATGTCGGATTTGGTACCCGAGTCGTAGGGTGGAGTGCAACCCCTGGGGGGAAAAAAAAATTAGCCGTCCTAGAAATAAAGTGTTCAATTGCCTCGGCCATTTAGTACGAGCCGGTAGCCCGGGGTACCGCCAAGATGATCATCTTCACACACACACACACAGATTATCACGCGGGCTTTCGCGATCAGTAATCGTTTATTTTTTGGGGGGGTGGGATCGCGTAAATGTGTAAACGTGTCGTCAAAACGAAACGGAGATTTCTCCACAAGCCTGGCGGCCCGCCTCATGGCGCCAGTTGTAATTACTGGCGGAGCGTCACGGCGTTCGGATTGTAAACTACACTACTATACACTACACTATACACTACACTATACACTACACTATACACTGCACTATACACTACACTACTATACACTGCACTACTATACACTACACTATACACTACAAACTACTCTACACTACTATACACTACACTACTATACACTACACTATACACTACACTACTATACACTACACTATACACTACACTACTATAAACTACACTATACACTACACTACTATACACTGCACTACTATACACTACACTACTATACACTACACTACTATACACTACACTACTATACACTACACTCTACTCTACAAACTACTCTACACTACACTACTATACAATACACTACACTACTATACACTTCACTATACACTACTATACACTACACTACTATACACTACACTATACACTACTATACACTACACTACTATACACTACACTATACACTACACTACTATACACTACACTATACACTACACTACTATACACTATACTACTATACACTACTATACACTACACTACTATACACTACACTATACACTACACTACTATACTATACACTACACACGACACTACTACACACTACACTACACTATACAATACACTACACTACTAAACACTACACTACACTATACACTACCATACACTACACTATCAGGGGCGGAGCCAGGGGGAGTGACAGGGTGACATTCTGCGTGTAAGTGTACGACACTCGGTCTGGCGGACTCCGTGCAACTGCATTGTCAGAGTGAGTCGCCAACCGAGGGCGTCTAAGTTCAACAGCCTGACTCTCTCTAAATCATTCTTGATTTTAACATTTGTTGAATGTCACCCCGGCCTGAAATCCTGGCTCCGTCCCTGTACACTATACACTACACTATACACTACACTATACACTACATTATACACTACACTATACACTACACGATACACTACTACACTATACACTACTCACTACATTATACACTACTACACTACACTATACATTACTACACTACACTATGCACTACTACACTATACACTACATTATACACTACTACACTACACTACTCACGACACTATACACTATCACACTACACTATGCACTACTACACTATGCACTACTCACTACATTATACACTACTACACTACATTACTAAACTACACTATACACTACATTATACACCACTACACTATACACTATACACTACTCACTACACTATACACTACACTATACACTACTACACTATACACTACTCACTACATTATACACTACTACACTACACTATACACTACACTACTACACTATACACTACTCACTACATTATACACTACTACACTACGCTATACACTACTCACTACACTACACACTACCCTACACACTAGTGCTGTACTAGTAACGAAGCCCTGTTACTAATTGGCTGTGTTGGGTGGTGGAGGGTTTAACGACACAACATTTATATTTTCACGCGATCTAACCCCAAACATGTCGTGATATATACACAAATATACACACATACACACCTACAGTGGTGATACTGATCACCTTCCTATTACCTCGTCACATAAATAATAGTTTATAGTTATCAGCTATCAGTTAACATCCCATTCACCCACATCATCCACCTCACCCATTTACCCACCCACCCACTCACCCACCCAATCACCCACCCACTCACCAACCCACCCTCCCACCCACCAACCCACCCACTCTGCCATCCACCCACCCACTCACTCTCCCACCCACCCACCCACTCTGCCACCTACCCACCCACTCATTCTCCCACCCACCCACTCATTCTCCCACCCACCCACTCTGCCACTCTCCTACTCTCACTCACTCTACCACCCACTCTCCCACCCACCCACCCACTCTCCCACCCACCCACTCTCCCACCCACCCACACTCCCACCCACCCACTCTCCCACCCACCCACTCTGCCACCCACCCACTCTCCCACCCACCCACTCTGCCACTCTCCTACTCTCACTCACTCTACCACCCACTCTCCCACCCACCCACTCTCCCACCCACCAACCCACCCACTCTGCCACCCACCCACCCACTCTGCCACCCACCAACCCACCCACCCACCCTCCCACCCACCCACTCTCCCACCCACTCACCCACCCACCCACTCACCCACCCACCCACTCTGCCACTCTCCTACTCTCACCCACTCTACCACTCTACCACCCACTCTCCCACCCACCCACTCTCCCACCCACTCTCCCACCCACCAAGAGGCGCGCCCAAAACAAATCCGGCGGCCGCGATAAGCCCTCGCCGATTTGGCCAAGCGGCGGCAAACGAAGCTGCCGGCAGGACCGGCGAAGGCCGACGGCATGAAGCCTGGCGGTGGCGGCGGGCGCACGTCCGTGGAGCCGAGGACGTCCGTCGGTTCGCACCGCGGCCTCGCGAAGGTGGCGGGGGGATGCGGTCACCGATCTTCTGCCGCGTAGGTGGCGACGGCTCCTCCTGGCGGCACGGCGTAGCGCGGGGCCCGGCACAGCGGATCGCCGGCGCCGGCGATCTCCGCCACGTAGAGGTCCGGCGGCTGATCCGAGGCGGATTCTGCAGCCGCTGAACCGACACCACGGCACGTGCCGCACGCACACACGCACACACAGGTTACTCACACACACACACATACACATTCACACACACATACACATTCACACACACACACATACACATTCACACACACACACATACACATTCACACACACATACACATTCACACACATACACATTCACACACATACACATACACACACATACACATTCACACACACATACACATTCACACACACACACATACACATTCACACACACACACATACACATTCACACACATACACATTCACACACACTCACATACACTCACTCATACACTCACATTCACACATTCACACACTCACTCACACACTCACATTCACACACACATTCACACATTCACACACTCACTCACACACTCACATTCACTCACACATTCACACACATTCACACACTCACTCATACACACTCACACATTCACTCATACACTCATACACTCATTCACACACTCACACTCACTCACACATTCACTCACTCGCACACACTCACATTCACGTACACACACACATACATTCACACACGGTGATAGTGGTGGTGATAGCGGTGGTGGTGATAGCTGTGGTGATAGCTGTGGTGATAGCGGTGGTGGTGATAGTGGTGGTGGTGATAGCTGTGGTGATAGCGGTGGTGATAGCGGTGGTGGTGATAGCGGTGGTGGTGATAGTGGTGGTGGTGATAGCGGTGGTGATAGCGGTGGTGATAGCGGTGGTGATAGCGGTGGTGGTGATAGCGGTGGTGGTGATAGTGGTGATGGTGATAGCTGTGGTGATAGCGGTGGTGATAGCGGTGGTGGTGATAGCGGTGGTGGTGATAGTGGTGATGGTGATAGCGGTGGTGATAGCGGTGGTGGTGATAGCGGTGGGGGTGATAGCGGTGGTGGTGATAGTGGTGGTGATAGTGGTGGTGGTGATAGCGGTGGTGGTGATAGTGGTGGTGGTGACAGCGGTGGTGGTGATAGCGGTGGTGGTGATAGTGGTGGTGGTGGTGATAGCGGTGGTGGTGATAGTGGTGGTGGTGATAGCGGTGGTGGTGATAGCGGTGGTGGTGATGGTTACGGTTGTGGGGGTACCGGGGCTCTCACCGGACACAGCCGACTGTGCCGCTGCCGCCGCCGCTGCCGCCACCTCCTCCTCCTCCTCCTCCGGGAGCACCACCGGCACCGGCACAAACTCGATGTGGCCTCCACCCTGCGTAGCCGGGAGTGGCAACCGCGTCATCGCCGTGGCAACCGTGTCGGCGTCAAACATGCCAGCCGCGTCGCCGTGGCAACCCGCGTCACCACGGCAACCCGTGTCGCCGTGGCAACCCGCGTCGCCACGTCAACCCACGTCGCCGTGGCAACCCGCTTCAACACGGCAACCCACGTCGCCGTGGCAACCCGCGTCGCCACGGCAACCCACGTCGCCGTGGCAACCCGCGTCGCCATGTCAACCCACGTCGCCGTGGCAACCTGTGTCGCTGTGATGACGGTGATGATGTTGTTGTTGATGATGGTGGTGATCGTGATGATGATGATGGTGGTGGTGGTGATAGCGGTGGGTAGCGGTGGTGGTGATAGCGGTGGTGATAGTGGTGGTGATGGCGATGGTAGTGGTGGTGGTAGTGATGGTGGTGATAGTGGTGGTGATGGTGGTGGTGATGGCGATGGTAGTGGTGGTGGTAGTGATAGTGGTGGTAGTGATGGTGGTGGTGATGATGGTGGTAGTGATGGTGGTGGTGATGGTGATGATGGTGGTGGTAGTGATGGTGGTAGTGATGGTGGTGGTGATGGTGATGATGGTGGTGATGGTGGTGGGAGTGATGGTGGTGGTTATGGTGGTAGTAGTGATGGTGATGTTAGTGATGGTGGTGGTAGTGATGGTGGTGATGGTAGTGATGGTGGTGGTGATGGTAGTGATGGTGGTGGTGATGGTAGTGATAGTGGTGATGATGGTAGTGATAGTGGTAATGATGGTAGTGATGGTAGTGATGGTGGTGATGGTGGTGATGATGGTGGTGATGGTAATGGTGATGATGGTGCTGATGATGATGGTGGTGATGGTGGTGGTGATGGTGGTGATGGTGGTGATGATGGTGATGATGATGGTGGTGATGATGGTGGTGGTGATGGTGGTGATGATGGTGGTGATGGTGGTGATGATGGTGGTGATGGTGGTGATGATGGTGGTGGTGGTGATGGTGGTGATGCTGGTAATGATGGTGGTGGTGATGGTAGTGATGGTGATGATGGTGGTGGTGATGGTGGTGATGCTGGTGATGATGGTGGTGGTGATGGTGGTGATGCTGGTGATGATGGTGGTGGTGATGGTGGTGATGATGGTGGTGGTGATGGTGATGATGGTGGTGATGATGGTGATGATGGTGGTGATGATGGTGATGATGGTGACGATGGTGGTGGTGATGGTGGTGATGATGGTGGTGGTGATGGTGGTGATGATGGTAATGGTGATGATGGTGGTGGTGATGGTGGTGATGCAGCTGGTGATGATGGTGGTGGTGATGATGATGATGGTGGTGGTGATGGTGGCGGTGATGATGATGATGATGGTGGTGGTGATGGTGGCGGTGATGATGATGATGATGATGGTGGTGGTGATGGTGGCGATGGTAGCGATGGTGATGATGCTGGTAGTGATGGTGGTGATGATGGTGGTGATGGTGGTGATGATGGTGGTGATGGTGGTGGTGATGGTGATGATGGTGGTGATGATGATGGTGGCGATGGTGGCGATGGTGGTGATGATGGTGGTGATGGTGGTGATGATGGTGGTGGTGATGGTGGTGATGGTGATGATAGTGATGTGTGTGATTCACCTCCATGTCCTGTTCATACTGGATGTGGTGAATCTGGTGATCCTGCAGCTGCACAACCGCAAACAACCACAACCACCACATCAACAACAACCACCACATCAACAACAACCACAACAACAACCACCACAACATCGACCACGACCACATCAACAAGCACAACCACCACATCAACAACAACCACAACAACTACCACCACCACAACCACATCAACAGCAGAAACTACCACTACCGTGACATCCTCCTCCTGCACCTAGCCTGGCACAGCAGTCAACCCACACCACCTGCTGGGCCTGCCCCGTGACCTCCTCCTCCTGCACCTAGCCTGGCACAGCAGTCAACCCACGCCATCTGCTGCGTCTGTCACATGACCACTTCACAAGACGACATCGCCCAAGCGCCACCCAGCCGGGCGCCGCGGTGATGTCCCACCGTTGTAGTTGTCTGATGGTTGTTGTTGTTGTTGTTGTCTGGTTGTTGTTGTTGTGGTGTGTGCACGTGCCCCTCACCACCTGTATGTGATGTCCCTCGGGCACCGCCACGATGCACTCCTGGGGCAGCAGATGCTGCACCCCGTCCTGAGAGATGATGTACTGCACCTGTGTGACACACATAGACACACACACATAGACACACACACATAGACACACACATACACACACACACAGACACACACACATAGACACGCACATAGACACACACACATAGACACACACATACACACACATAGACACACGCACACACATAGACACACACATATACACACGCACATAGACACACACACATAGACACACACATAGACACACAGACATAGACACACACATAGACACACACACATAGACACACACACATAGACACACACATAGACACACACACATAGACACACACATAGACACACACATAGACACACACATAGACACACACATAGACACACGCACACACATAGACACACACACATAGACACACGCACACACATAGACACACACACATAGACACACACACATAGACACACACACAGACACACAGACACACACATAGACACACACACAGACAGACACACACACAGACACACACACACATAGACACACACACACACATTGACACACACATAGACACACACATACACACACACACATAGACATAGACACGCACACCATACACACACAGACACACACATAGACACACACACACATAGACACACACACACACATAGACACACACACACAGACACACACACATACACACACATAGACACACACACACAGACACGCACAAACACATAGACAACAACCGCCATTCGCCACTAAGTGGCGGTGACGTCACCACGACGCTTGTGCCAGGCTATGTGCACCCTGAGGCCACGTGAAGTATCGAACGCCCGCTGGCACGAGGTCACGGGGCAGACCCAGCAGGTGCCACGGGTCGATTGACTGAGATGACTGGCTGATGCACCACCTGTGGTGGCAGGAGCCAGAGCCGGTCCACCGGACCTCCTGAATGCCACAGAGATCCATGCGGTACCGGTCCAGCTCCCGACAGAGGAGTGGCAGCCTCTCCTCCGCAGTGAGCGTTCGAACATTCCACGTGGCCACACGAAGTGGCTTTTTGTTGTTTCTGGAGGAGCCCCGAGGGTAGAGATTCAATCTCCTGGCTCCGCCAAACAGGGTTTGGCCAGGAGACGTCATAGACGCCTGTCCCCCCGGGGCCTCCGGCACAAGCTTATTAATAAAAAAATTCCGTTATGGTTTAGTGGTAATTAATTGAAAGTGGAGGGGTTACCAGCCCCTCGCACCCGTCCAGAGCCCCCTTTTGGTCGCTGTGGTGGTCACAAACGCCATGAGGGGAAAGGCCAATCTCAGTTGGCCCTCCCCCCACGGCACTGCCCACGACAGCGTTGCCTGTCCGGCACCACGAGGAGGTTGGTGGTGCCTGTGTTGGTGGTGGCTGTGTTGGTGGTACCACAAACACAGCTACCACCAACACGGCGTTGGCACGGCCCACCCCCCGCCCCCCCCCCCCCACCCACCCACCCCCACCCACCCACCCACCCACCCCCACCCACCCACCCACCCCCACCCACCCACCCCCACCCACCCACCCACCCACCCCCACCCACCCACCCACCCCCACCCACCCACCCACCCCCACCCACCCACCCACCCCCACCCACCCACCCACCCCCACCCACCCACCCACCCACCCACCCCCACCCACCCCCCACCCACCCACCCACCACCCACCCACCCCCACCCACCCACCCCCACCCACCCGGTTGTCTGCAGTCACCAGCTGCTGGATGTTGGGGCCGTCAGCCGTGAAGTGGTGGATGAAAGCGGCCTGCTCCTGCAGAGTAACACAGAGGGCAGGTTCACTCAGAGGGCGGGGCTGGTGGTGGTGGTGGGGGGAGTGGTGGGGGGAAGCAGGGGTGGTGGTGGTGGGGGGGGAGTGGTGGGAGGGAGGGAGGGGAGGGAGGGAGGTGGTGAGCGACTCGCCTGCTCCAGGGCCCCGGTAGCCTGCTCCACCACGACGTGGTGGTGGTGGTGGTGGTGGTGGTCGCAGGCCGCGAGGCCGTCGGCAGCTCCCTCCAACCCCGCGGGGCCCTGGGCGGCCTGCAGGCCTGCACGGCAAACCGGCCGTAGCCACCGTCACCGACCGACCGTAGCCGTGGCGACGGACCGACCGTAGCCAAGGTGACCGACTTGCCGTATCCACGGCGACCAACCAACCGACCGCAGCTTCGGCGACCGACCGTAGCCAAGGTGACCGACCGACTGTAGCCAAAGTGAGCAGCATCATCTCCCGCAGCGTCGCCATCAAGCCGTAACCACCACCGCCACCACCACCACCACCACCAATATAACCACCACCAACACAGCCACCACCACCACCAATATAACCACCAACACAACCACCGCCACCACCACCACCAATATAACCACCACCAACACAACCATCGCCACCACCACCAATATAACCACCACCAACACAACCACGGCCACCACCACCAATATAACCACCACCAACACAACCATCGCCACCACCAATATAACCACCACCAACACAACCATCGCCACCACCACCAATATAACCACCACCACCAATATAACCACCACCAACACAACCATCGCCACCACCACCACCAATATAACCACCACCAACACAACCATCGCCACCACCACCAATATAACCACCACCAACACAGCCACCACCACCACCAATATAACCACCACCAACACAACCATCGCCACCACCACCACCAATATAACCACCACCAACACAACCATCGCCACCACCACCAATATAACCACCACCAACACAACCATCGCCACCACCACCAATATAACCACCACCAACACAACCATCACCACCACCACCAATATAACCACCACCAACACAACCATCGCCACCACCACCAATATAACCACCACCAACACAGCCACCACCACCAATATAACCACCACCAACACAACCATCGCCACCACCACCAATATAACCACCACCAACACAACCATCGCCACCACCACCAATATAACCACCACCAACACAACCATCGCCACCACTACCAATATAACCACCACCAACACAACCATCGCCACCACCACCACCACCAATATAACCACCACCAACACAACCACGGCCACCACCACCCAATATAACCACCACCAACACAACCATCGCCACCACCACCAATATAACCACCACCAACACAGCCACCACCACCACCAATATAACCACCACCAACACAACCATCGCCACCACCACCAATATAACCACCACCAACACAACCATCGCCACCACCACCACTAATATAACCACCACCAACATAACCATCGCCACCACCACCAATATAACCACCACCAACACAGCCACCACCACCACCAATATAACCACCACCAACACAACCAACACAACCATCGCCACCACCACCAATATAACCACCACCAACACAACCATCGCCACCACCACCACCAATATAACCACCACCAACACAACCATCGCCACCACCACCAATATAACCACCACCAACACAGCCACCACCACCACCAATATAACCACCACCAACACAACCATCGCTACCACCACCACCAATATAACCACCACCAACACAACCATCGCCACCACCACCAATATAACCACCACCAACACAACCATCGCCACCACCACCACCACCAATATAACCACCACCAACACAACCATCGCCACCACCACCAATATAACCACCACCAATATAACCACCACCAACACAACCATCGCCACCACCACCAATATAACCACCATCAACACAACCATCGCCACCACCACCAATATAACCACCACCAACACAACCACCGCCACCACCACCAATATAACCACCACCAACACAACCATCGCCACCACCAATATAACCATCACCAACACAACCATCGCCACCACCACCACCAATATAACCACCACCAACACAACCATCGCCACCACCACCAATATAACCACCACCAACACAACCATCGCCACCACCACCACCAATATAACCAACACCAACACAACCATCGCCACCACCACCAATATAACCACCAACACAACCATCGCCACCACCACCACCAATATAACCAACACAACCATCGCCACCACCACCAATATAACCACCACCAACACAACCATCGCCACCACCACCACCAATATAACCACCACCAACACAACCATCGCCACCACCACCAATATAACCAACACCAACACAACCATCGCCACCACCACCAATATAACGACCACCAACACAACCATCGCCACCACCACCACCAATATAACCACCACCAACACAACCATCACCACCACCACCACCAATATAACCACCACCAACACAACCATCGCCACCACCACCAATATAACCACCACCAACACAGCCACCACCACCAATATAACCACCACCAACACAACCATCGCCACCACCACCAATATAACCACCACCAACACAACCATCGCCACCACCACCAATATAACCACCACCAACACAACCATCGCCACCACCACCAATATAACCACCACCAACACAACCATCGCCACCACCACCACCACCAATATAACCACCACCAACACAACCACGGCCACCACCACCCAATATAACCACCACCAACACAACCATCGCCACCACCACCAATATAACCACCACCAACACAGCCACCACCACCACCAATATAACCACCACCAACACAACCATCGCCACCACCACCAATATAACCACCACCAACACAACCATCGCCACCACCACCAATATAACCACCACCAACACAACCATCGCCACCACCACCACCACCAATATAACCACCACCAACACAACCATCGCCACCACCACCACCACCAATATAACCACCACCAACACAACCATCGCCACCACCACCAATATAACCACCACCAACACAGCCACCACCACCACCAATATAACCACCACCAACACAACCAACACAACCATCGCCACCACCACCAATATAACCACCACCAACACAACCATCGCCACCACCACCACCAATATAACCACCACCAACACAACCATCGCCACCACCACCAATATAACCACCACCAACACAGCCACCACCACCACCAATATAACCACCACCAACACAACCATCGCTACCACCACCACCAATATAACCACCACCAACACAACCATCGCCACCACCACCAATATAACCACCACCAACACAACCATCGCCACCACCACCACCACCAATATAACCACCACCAACACAACCATCGCCACCACCACCACCACCAATATAACCACCACCAACACAACCATCGCCACCACCACCACCAATATAACCACCACCAACACAACCATCGCCACCACCACCAATATAACCACCATCAACACAACCATCGCCACCACCACCAATATAACCACCACCAACACAACCACCGCCACCACCACCAATATAACCACCACCAACACAACCATCGCCACCACCACCAATATAACCACCACCAACACAACCATCGCCACCACCACCACCACCAATATAACCACCACCAACACAACCATCGCCACCACCACTGCCAGCACCAACACAACTGTGTGAGTGAGTGAATGACTGAGTGACTGAGTGAGTGAGTGACTGAGTGAGTGACTGAGTGACTGAGTGAGTGACTGAGTGAGTGACTGAGTGAGTGAGTGACTGAGTGAGTGACCGCGTGAGTGAGTGAGTGACTGAGTGAGTGACTGTGACTGAGTAACCGCGTGAGTGAGTGAGTGACTGAGTGACAATGAGGGTGACTAAGTGAGTGACCCAGTGAGTGACCGAGTGAGTGAGCGACCCAGTAAGTGACCCAGTGAGTGACCCAGTGAGTGAGTGACCCAGTGAGTGACCCAGTGAGTGACCCAGTGAGTGAGTGACCCAGTGAGTGAGTGACCCAGTGAGTGAGTGACCCAGTGAGTGACCCAGTGAGTGAGTGACCCAGTGAGTGACCGTGTGAGTGACCGTGTGAGTGACCGTGTGAGTGACCCAGTGAGTGAGTGACCCAGTGAGTGACCCAGTGAGTGACCGTGTGAGTGACCATGTGAGTGACCCAGTGAGTGACCGTGTGAGTGACCCAGTGAGTGACCCAGTGAGTGAGTGACCCAGTGAGTGACCCAGTGAGTGAGTGACCCAGTGAGTGAGTGACCCAGTGAGTGACCCAGTGAGTGAGTGACCCAGTGAGTGACCGTGTGAGTGACCCAGTGAGTGAGTGACCCAGTGAGTGAGTGACCCAGTGAGTGACCGTGTGAGTGACCCAGTGAGTGAGTGACCCAGTGAGTGACTGTGTGAGTGACCCAGTGAGTGACCCAGTGAGTGAGTGACCCAGTGAGTGGGTGACCCAGTGAGTGACCGTGTGAGTGACCCAGTGAGTGGGTGACCCAGTGAGTGACCCAGTGAGTGGGTGACCCAGTGAGTGGGTGACCCAGTGAGTGGGTGACCCAGTGAGTGGGTGACCCAATGAGTGACCCAGTGAGTGGGTGACCCAGTGAGTGGGTGACCCAGTGAGTGACCCAGTGAGTGAGTGACCCAGTGAGTGACCCAGTGAGTGACCCAGTCAGTGACCCAGTGAGTGACCGTGTGAGTGACCCAGTGAGTGACCGTGTGAGTGAACCAGTGAGTGACCGTGTGAGTGACCCAGTGAGTGACCCAGTGAGTGACCCAGTGAGTGACCGTGTGAGTGACCCAGTGAGTGACCCAGTGAGTGGGTGACCCAGTGAGTGACCCAGTGAGTGACCCAGTGAGTGACCCAGTGAGTGACCGTGTGAGTGACCCAGTGAGTGACCCAGTGAGTGGGTGACCCAGTGAGTGACCGTGTGAGTGACCCAGTGAGTGGGTGACCCAGTGAGTGGGTGACCCAGTGAGTGACCGTGTGAGTGACCCAGTGAGTGCGTGACCCAGTGAGTGGGTGACCCAGTGAGTGACCCAGTGAGTGGGTGACCCAGTGAGTGGGTGACCCAGTGAGTGACCGTGTGAGTGACCCAGTGAGTAACCCAGTGAGTGGGTGACCCAGAAAGTGACCCAGTGAGTGACCCAGTGAGTGGGTGACCCAGTGAGTGACCCAGTGAGTGACCCAGTGAGTGACGCAGTGAGTGACCGCACTCTGCAGGATGGCCTCGTCTGTGGCGGTCAGCAGGAATGTTTGTGTCCTCAGCTTCTTCTCTGCGGAGTCGGTGCTGCTGTGCAGGCGGTCCATGTGGAACTTGAGGTGCCCGTTGCGGTTAAACCTGCGGTGGACGGCACCGCCAAACACCACCACCACCACAATCACCACCACAATCACCACCACCACAATCACCACCACTACCACAGTCACCACCACCACCAGTCACCACCACCACCGCCACAATCATCACCACCACCACAGTCACCACCGCCACAGTCACCACCACCACCGCCACTACTACCACAATCACCACCACCACTACTACCACAATCACCACCACCACAATCACCACCACAGTCACCACCACCACCACTACCACAATCACCACCACCACAGTCACCACCACCACCACCACAGTCACCACCACCACAATCACCACCACCACAATCACCACCACCACTACCATAATCACCACCACTACCATAATCACCACCACCACTACCATAATCACCACCACTACTACCACAATCACCACCACTACCACAATCACCACCACTACCACAATCACCACCACTACCACAATCACCACCACTACCACAATCACCACCACCACCACAATCACCACCACCACCACAATCACCACCACCACCACAATCACCACCACTACCACAATCACCATCACTACCACAATCACCACCACTACCACTACCACAATCACCACCACCACTAGCACTACCACAATCACCACCACCACTACCACAATCACCACGACCACCACAATCACCACCACCACAATCACCACCACCACAATCACCACCACCACTACCACAATCACCACCACCACTACCATAATCACCACCACCACTACCACCACAATCACCACCACTACCACCACAATCACCACCACTACCACAATCACCACCACTACCACAATCACCACCACCACAATCACTATCACCACTACCACAATCACCACCACTACCACTACCACAATCACCACCACTACCACAATCACCACCACCACCACTACCACAATCACCACCACCACAATCACCACCACCACAATCACCACCACCACAATCACCACCACCACCACTACCACAATCACCACCACTACCACAATCACCACCACCACTACCACAATCACCACCACTACCACAATCACCACCACCACTCTAGCTCGTGTCACTCACTCACCCACTCACCCATCACTCCATCTCTTCTCTAGCCCGTGCCACTCACTCACCCACTCACCCATCACTCCATCTCTTATCTAGCCCGTGTCACTCACTCACCCACTCACTCACCCATCACTCCATCTCTCCTCTAGCCCGTGCCACTCACCCACTCACTCACCCATCACTCCATCTCTTCTCTAGCCAGTGCCACTAACTCACCCACTCACTCACCCATCACTCCATCTCTTCTCTAGCCCGTGTCACTCACTCACCCACTCACTCACCCATCACTCCATCTCTCCTCTAGCACGTGTCACTCACTCACTCACCCATCACTCCATCTCTACTCTAGCCCGTGCCACTAACTCACTAACTCATCCACTCACCCATTACTCCATCTCTTCTCTAGCCCGTGCCACTCACCCACTCACTCACTCACCCATCACTCCATCTCTCCTCTAGCTAGTGCCACTAACTCACCCACTCACCCATTACTCCATCTCTCTTCTACCCCGTGTCACTCACTCACTCACCCATCACTCCATCTCTCCTCTAGCCCGTGCCACTAACTTACTAACTCACCCACTCACCCATTACTCCATCTCTCTTCTACCCCGTGTCACTCACTCACTCACCCATCACTCCATCTCTCCTCTAGCCCGTGCCACTCACCCACTCACTCACCCATCACTCCATCTCTTCTCTAGCCAGTGCCACTAACTCACCCACTCACTCACCCATCACTCCATCTCTTCTCTAGCCCGTGTCACTCACTCACCCACTCACTCACCCATCACTCCATCTCTCCTCTAGCACGTGTCACTCACTCACTCACCCATCACTCCATCTCTACTCTAGCCCGTGCCACTAACTCACTAACTCATCCACTCACCCATTACTCCATCTCTTCTCTAGCCCATGCCACTCACCCACTCACTCACTCACCCATCACTCCATCTCTCCTCTAGCCAGTGCCACTAACTCACTCACTCACCCATCACTCCATCTCTTCTCTAGCCCGTGTCACTCACTCACCCACTCACTCACCCATCACTCCATCTCTCCTCTAGCACGTGTCACTCACTCACTCACCCATCACTCCATCTCTACTCTAGCCCGTGCCACTAACTCACTAACTCATCCACTCACCCATTACTCCATCTCTTCTCTAGCCCATGCCACTCACCCACTCACTCACTCACCCATCACTCCATCTCTCCTCTAGCCAGTGCCATTAACTCACTCACTCACCCATCACTCCATCTCTTCTCTAGCCCTTGCCGTGCCCATCTAACCCCCTCTATCCGGCCGAATCATCACCACCACCACCATCACCACCACCACGACCACCACCATCACCACCACCACGACCACCACCACCATCACCACCATCATCATCACCACCACCACGACCACCATCATCACCACCACCACCAAGACCACCATCACCACCACCACCACCACCACGACCACCATCACCACCACCATCATCACCACCACCACCACGACCACCATCATCATCACCACCACGACCACCACCACCACCACCGCGCCAGCAGTCACCTCTGTCCACACACGTCGCAGGCGAAGGGCTTCTCGTTGGTGTGCGTGAGCAGGTGGCGCCGCAGGTCCTTCTTGTTTTTGGAGGCGAAGCTGCACTGCCCACAGCGGTGTGGGCGCAGGCTGGCATGGGACGCCATGTGCTCCTGTGGGGAGGGGGCGCGGGGGGCGACTCGCTCGATCGCTCGCCCGCTCGCCCGCTCGCTCGCTAGCCTACTTACTCACTCACCCGCTTACCCACTCACCCGCTCACTCATTCAATCATTCACTCACTCACTCACTCACCCGCTTACCCACTCACCCACTCACTCACTCATCCGCTTACCCACTTACCCACTCACCCACTCACTCACCCACTCACGCACCAGTTAACCTACTCACCCATCCACTCATTCACTCACTCGCTCGCTTACTCACTCACCCACCCACTCACCCACCCACCCACCCCCCCACTCACCAACTCACCCGCCCACCCGCCCACTCACCCACTCGCCCACTCACCCACCCGCTCACTCACCCACCCTTTCATTCACCCACCCACCCACCCACTCACCCACCCACCCACTCACGCACCCACCCACCCACTCACTCACCCACCCACTCACCCACCCACCCACCCACTCACTCACCCACCCACCCACCCACTCACCCACCCACTCACCCACCCACTCACCCACCCACTCACCCACTCACTCACCCACCCACCCACTCACGCATCCGTTTATCCACCCACACACTCACTCACATACCCACACACTCACTCACTCACCAGCCTAACCACTCACCCACTCACCCACCCACTCACTCACCCACCCACCCACTCACCCACCCACCCACTCACCCACCCACCCACCCTGACGTTGTCCCAGGCGTCGTGCTGGTACCCGCAGTGGGGGCACTTGAACCCGAGGGTCCCGGCGTGGGCCCTCTTGTGGGCCTCGAGTTCGGCGCGACCGCCAAACGGCACGCCGCACAGCTTGCACGAAAACTTCTTCAGCGCCGGCGGCGGCGCCGGCGCCGGCGCCGGCGAGGGGGCGGCGTCCGCCCCCGGCAAGGAATCGTCGCCGTTCTGCCGCGCCGGCAAAAGGAAGGAGAGCCGGGGCCGACGATGAGGTCGGTGATGCCTCCGTAACCGCCACCACCGTCACCACCATCACCACCACCATCACCACCATCACCACCGTCACCATCACCACCATCACCACCGTCACCATCACCACCACCGTCACCACCATCACCACCATCACCACCGTCACCACCGTCACCACCGTCACCACCACCACCATCACCACCACCGTCACCACCATCACCGTCACCACCATCACCACCACCGTCATCACCACCACAATCACCACCACCGTCACCACCACAATCACCACCACAATCACCACCACAATCACCACCACCATCACCACCACCACCACCGTCACCACCATCACTACCACCATCACCATCACCACCACCATCACCACCACCGTCACCACCACTGTCACCACCACCATCACCACCATCACCACCACCACCACCACCGTCACCACCATCACCACCACCGTCACCACCGTCACCACCACCGTCACCACCATCACCCACCACCGTCACCACCACCGTCACCACCATCATCACCACCGTCACCACCATCACCACCACCGTCACCACCACCGTCACCACCACCGTCACCACCACCGTCACCACCACAATCACCACCACAATCACCACCACAATCACCACCACCGTCACCACCACCACTACCACCATCACTACCACCATCACCATCACAGTCACCACCACCGTCACCACCATCACCACCACCATCACCACCACCATCACCACCATCACCACCACCGTCACCACCATCACCACCACCGTCACCACCACCATCACCACCACCGTCACCACCACCATCACCACCACCGTCACCACCACAATCACCACCACTGTCACCACCATCACCACCACCGTCACCACCACCATCACCACCACCGTCACCACCACCGTCACCACCATCACCGTCACCACCACCACCACCGTCACCACCATCACCACCACCACCACCACCACCGTCACCACCGTCACCACCACCGTCACCACCGTCACCACCACCGTCACCACCACCATCACCACCACCGTCACCACCACCATCACCACCACCGTCACCACCACAATCACCACCACCGTTACCACCACCGTCACCACCGTCACCACCACCGTCACCATCACTACCACCATCACCACCACCATCACCACCACCGACCTGCATGGTGCTGTGAGCCCGGTGAGCGCCGATCCCGGAGAAGAGAGCTCCGTTGGGCTTCACCAGATCAGAGTGGTCACCACCGCCGCTCACCACCACCGCGTGCGCCACACCGCTGCCACGGCCACCGCCACCACCACACCACACACCACACATCACGCACCGGCACATCGCACACCACACACCGGCTCACCACACACCACACACCACACATCACGCACCGGCACACCACAGACCGGCACACCACACATCACACACCACACACCGACCCACCACACACCACACACACACACGACACACCGGCACACCACAGACCGGCACACCACACATCACACACCACACACCACACACCACACACCGACTCACCACACACCGACCCACCACACACCACACACCACACACACACACGACACACCGGCACACCACACACCACACACCACACACCACACACACCGGCACACCACACACCGGCACACCGACCCACCCGTACAGCGCGGCGGCGACGGCGCCACCCTCCAGCCCGCCGTCCGCTGGCGCCGAGACGACGCCGCAGGCGCCGATGGCGACCGGCCCGGCACCGGCACCGCCGCCGTCGTCCCCGAAGACGTCCTCGGCATCGCCGGCGCCGCCGGTGCCGCCGTCGGCGTCGTCGGCGTCGTCGTCGTCGTCCACCCTCTCGTACGTCTCCTGCACGACGGCGCTGCCGTGCTCGTCCACGTGCAGCGTCACCACCTTGCGCTGCTGCTGCTGGAGCTGCTGGTGGAGGTGGTGCTGGTGCTGGTGGAGGTGGAGGTGCTGCTGGTGGTGGAGGTGCTGCTGCTGGTGCTGGTGGTGGAGGTGCTGCTGGTGGAGGTGCTGCTGGTGGTGGAGGTGCCGGTGCTGCTGGCCGGGAGCCGGCACCGCAGGGGGCGGCTCCCGGTCCGGCACCGAGCGGCGACGCTGCCGCCGTTGCTGCGCTTCGGTCGAGGTGCCGGAACCCGGTACCTGCGGCGGTGGTGAAGGTGGCAGCGGTGACGGCGGTGACGGCGGTGGTGATGGCGGTGGCGACTATAGCGGTGGTGATGGCGGTGATGGTGGTGATGGTGGTGATGGTGGTGACGGTGATGATGGTGGTGGCGACTATAGCGGTGGTGATGGTGGTGATGGTGGTGACGGTGGTGATGGTGGTGACGGTGGTGATGGTGGTGATGGTGGTGGCGACTATAGCGGTGGTGATGGTGGTGATGGTGGTGACGGTGGTGATGGTGGTGATGGTGGTGATGGTGGTGGCGACTATAGCGGTGGTGATGGTGGTGATGGTGGTGACGGTGGTGATGGTGGTGATGGTGGTGACGGTGGTGATGGTGGTGATGGTGGTGGCGACTATAGCGGTGGTGACAGCGGTGACGGTGGCGGCGGCGGCGGTGGTGACGGCGGTGGCGACGGTGGTGGTGGTGGTGGCGACTATGGCGGTGGCGGTGGTGACGGCGGCGACGGTGGTGGCGACGGTGGTGGCGGTGATGGTGGTGGTGGCGACGGTGATGGTGGTGACGGTTGTGACGGTGGTGGTGACGGCGGTGGCGACGGTGGTGGCGGTGGCAGTGGCGACGGTGATGGTGGTGACGATGGCGGTGACGGTGGCGGTGGCGATGGTGGCGGCAGTGGTGGTGGCGGTGACGGCGATGGCGGTGACGCACCGGTCAGCGTAACGCACTGTGGCGCTCTGCTCGATGCCGAGCAGAGCGATGGCCTCACCTGCGGCGAGTGAGCAGGCGCCAGCTCCCTGCAGGAGCTCATGTTGAGCAGCAGGTCCAGCGCCACCTGCGCCGGGTCCACACTCTCCGCTGCACAAACACAAAGGCAAAGATCCCCCGCGTAGCCTTCACGCGCCGTCGGGGCAAGCGCCGTCAGCGGCGGCACGTGCGTAGGCCGGCATTCATCCCCCCCCCCCCGGTGGCGATGGTGACTACGACGCATCGCGCCGGGTGACTCGTTTGAGGCCGAGTCGACCTAGGGGAGGCCCGGGACCGGTTCAGACAATCGTCACCGGTGTTGGCCGCGAGCGGGAATCGAACCAGGATTCGCCGGGTTCGTAGCGCAGCGTAGCGCTAACCGCTACACCACCGCTCACACACACACACACCCACACACCCACACACAAACACACAGACACACAAACACACACCCACACACCCACACACACCCACACATCTACACACCCACACACAGACAGACACCCACACATCCACACACCCACACATCCACACACCCACACATCCACACACCCACACCCCCACACACAGACACACACCCACACATCCACACACACACACCCACACACATCCACACACCCCCACACACATCCACACACACCCACACATCCACACACACCCACACATCCACACCCACACATCCACACACACCCACACACACACCCACACACACCCACACATCCACACACACACCCACACACACCCACACATCCACACCCACACATCCACACACCCACACACCCACACACACCCACACACACCCACACACACCCACACATCCACACACACCCACACACACACACCCACACACAGACACACACCCACACACCCACACACACACCCACACACACACCCACACACACATCCACACACACACCCACACACACACCCACACACACATCCACACACAAAGATCCCCCGTATATCTTTAACAGACTGTAGGGACAAGTGCTGTTAGCGAGCACCTATGAAGGCCGGAATGGTACACGAGGGGGTGGGTGGCCAGCACCACGGCCGACCGCCTTTGTCTCCCTAGTGGCAATGTTTACACACCGCACCAGGTACTCATTTGAGGCTGAGTCGACCTAGGGGAGGCCCGGGACCGGTTCAGATAATCGTCACTGGTGTTGGCCGTGAGCGGGAATCGAACCCGGGTCGCCAGGTTCATAGCGCAGCGCGCTAACCGCTACACTATCGCTCCCCACATCCACACACACACATCCACACACACACATCCATCCACACCCACACACACCCACATCCACACACACACCCACACACACCCACACACACCCACACACCCACACACACACCCACACACACCCACACACACACAATCTTCGGTCAACCCCACTGGGCTATGCCCCCTATCACCCCCCCCCCGTCACCCCCTCCCCCACCCCCTCCCCCACCCCTTCCACCCCCCCACCCCCACCCCCCAAACCCCCTCGCCACCCCTTCCACTCCCCCTCCCCCAATCCCTCCCGTCACCCCCTCCCCCACCCCTTCCACTCCCCCCCCAATCCCCCCCCCCGTCACCCCCTCCCCCACCCCTTCCACCCCCCCCACCTTCTCCGCAGGGGGCGGGGACCCCCCCCACCACGTCCCCGGCGTGGTAGACGACGCTGGCGCCCCCCACGGAGTCGACGGCCATCTCCTGGGAGTCAACAACAACAACAACAGAAACAACATCAGCAACAACAACAACAACATAGATCAACAACAATACAGAGACTCAACAACAACAACAACATCAGCAACAACAACATAGATCAACAACAATACGGAGACTCAACAACAACAATACAGAGACTCAACAACAACAACACGGGGAGAAGTATCAACAACAACATAAATCAACAACATAAATCAACAACATAAATCAACAACAACATAAATCAACAACATAAATCAACAACAACATAAATCAACAACATAAATCAACAACATGAATCAACAACAACATAAATCAACAATAACATAAATCAACAACAACATGAATCAACAACATAAATCAACAACAACATGAATCAACAATAACAGAACAGTACAACAGCAAGAGGGGTGAGTAGTAAACATCGCCACTGGGGAGACATAAGCACACTGCCCAGGTATGGGAAACTCTCCACTCTCTCCACAACTGCCCCATCACCGATTGGAAGTTGTGGGGGTGGAGTGTCCGATGGTACAAAATACCCAGGCAGGTGCTTAGTTTTGGTGGGGCTGATGGTAAGGCCCCACCTCTTAGTGGCACGCTCCAGTCTCAGCAGCAGCGTCTCCAACTCCTCCTCTGAATGAGCAGCTATTACCAAATCATCGGCATACATAACGTGGTTGAGCAATAGGGAGCCATCTCTTGACCGCACCCGGGCATCGATCAGCCTCCCATTATATCTGTACCATATGGAGATTCCCCCGGTACAGCTATTGAAGGCTTCACGAACTACGTGGTCAAAATAGATGTTAAATAATGTGGGAGCCAGAGGACATCCCTGTCGCACCCCAAGGTGTACAGGGAATGGCTCTGACTCCTGGCCACGTAGTTTTACCCGGGCCCGCTCACCATCGTGAAGGTCCTTAATGATCGTGAGCAGAGGGTCAGGTACTCCAAAAGCACGAAGAACAACCCAGAGCCCAGGCCTACTGATGGTATCATAGGCCTTGACCAGGTCAATAAAGCAGAGATGTAGGTCTTGTTGGAATTCCCTACACCTCTGCTGTAGCAGACGGACAGAAAATATGGCATCTGTGCAGGACCGCCCTTTCCTGAAACCGCATTGGGGCTCCGCAAGCCTCTCCTCAGCGTGCCTGGCAAGGCGATGTTGAATAATCCTTGCCAGGACCTTTCCCGGCACACTGAGGAGTGAGATGCCCCTGTAGTTGTTACAGTCCGTGTGGTCGCCTTTCTTAAAGAGGGGGACCACCAGGGCATCCTTCCAACCCTGCGGAACCCGTCCAGTGGTCCAGACTGTTGTTATGATGTCATAGAGGGCAGTCTGTTAACAAACGCCACCTTTCCTCAGCATTTCGCTTGGGAGATCTCTGCCCGCTTCCTTTCCTGATCTCAGACTCCGGATCGCCTTCAGTACTTCCTCAACAGATGGCACCTCAGCCAGCCACTTACAGGGGGTGACTTCTTCCAATATTTGAGGCACCGCAGCCTCAGCAGGATCATCCTCACTTTGTGCCACGATGTTTTCCTGGCTGAGGGATTTTCCCTCCCCCAGGACCTCACAGAAATGCTCAGCAAATCTGCAAACCTGTTCCTGTGGGTCGGAGATTGGATCACCGTTTTTTCCCCTGATGGTAATAGGTGTGGCACTGCAGGTTACTTTTTTGATGGAGTTAAATAGAGATTTGTGATCACGGGCCACTGAGGCAGACTCCATCTCCTCAGCAACCCGCGACCACCACCCATCCTTGCAGCGCCTCATGGCCCTCCGAACCTCCGAGCGAAGGCTGCGGTAAGCCTCCTCATTCTCTGACGTGGGATTCTGTAGCCGATGACAGTGGGCCTGTCGCTTTTTCTCAACCATCCTGAACACCTCCTCTGTCAGCCAGGGTCTCTGGGGAGGTCTGGACCGCGTACCCAAAGCAGCCATTGCAGCTGCATGAGTCACAGTCCTAAACCTCGCCCATTTACCCTCGACATCAGGAGGAGTCGGGGACGATGCCAATCCCAGCCGCAAGCGATGATGAAATTCTCGCTTGCAACTTTCATCAGATAACTGAGACCAGGCCACTTTAGGTTGGAATGGGGTCCTGGGTGTACACCCACCACCGGAGTGGAAGAATGGCAGGCGCATCTTACAGATGACTAGTCGATGGTCAGAGGGCAAATCAGCTCCACGGTAGGTCCTGGTGTCAAGGACATGGGCTCGCATCCACTGGTCCGTCACTATGTAGTCCAGCAGATGTTCTTGCTTGGACCCGGCATGCATCCATGATGTTGTGTGGATGCGCCGATGCCGGAACAGCGTGTTGGTAATTACAAGCTCATGGGCTGCACAAAAATCTAGCAGCCTCCTACCGTTGTTATTGAGCTGATCTGGCCCATGCCTTCCAATCACTCCAGACCAGGTGCCAGCATCATGACCAACTCGGGCATTGAAGTCACCCAACATGATGACTCTATCCCGAGGGGCCACTTTAGCCAGCACCTGTGACAGGAGGTCATAGAAGGCATCTGACTCATCGGCTTTGCCTGCATCCTTCCACGGATGTTCATCTTCGGTGGGGGCATAAGTAACCATGGCCACCATTCCTCGCCTCCGGTTGATGGGAAGGCGAGCCCAAAGGAGCCTGGGGCTTACAGCTTCCCACACCTCACCGCCACGCTCCCACGCCCCCTTCATTCTTTTGTTCAAAAGAAGAGCCACACCCTGTTGTTTGGCAGTCTGCTGCCCCGAGTAGAGGACCGTCCACCCCTCATGGTGGCAGGAGCCAGAACCGGTCCACCGGACCTCCTGAATGCCACATAGATCCAGGCGGTACCGGTCCAGCTCCCGACAGAGGAGTGGCAGCCTCTCCTCCGCAGTGAGCGTTCGAACATTCCACATGGCCACCCATAGTGGCTTTTCGTTGTTTCTGGAGGAGCCCCGATGTCCTGGCTCCGCCCATTGGGGTTTGGCCAGGAGACGTCATAGACGCCTGGCCCCCCGGGGCAGCCTCCGGCACAAGCTTATTAGTTACATACTTTATTCACGGTTTAGTGGTAATTAATTGAAGGTGGAGGGGTTATCAGCCCCTCGCACCCGTCCAGAGCCCCCGTTTAGCCCCTGTGGTGGACACAGATGCCATGAGGGGAGGAGCCAATCAAAATTGGACCTCCCCCCACAGCACTGTCCACAACAGAGTTGCCCGTCCGGCACCGCGAGGAGGTAGGGGGTTGTTTTGCACACCCACACAAACTCACCCACACGTACGTACACACACGTACGTACACGTACGTACACACACGTACGTACACACACACGTACGTACACACACACACACGTACGTACACACGTACGTACACACGTACGTACACACGTACGTACACACGTACGTACACACGTACGTACACACGTACGTACACGTACGACCACACATACACACACACGTACGTACACACACGTACGTACACACACACGTACGTACGTGTGCACGTACGTACACACGTACGTACGTGTACGTACACATGTGTACGTACACACACGTACGTACACGTACGTATGTACACAGGTACACACACACACACACGTACGTACACACGTACGTACACACGTGTAGCGACATCGAATCGGCCACGTAGCAGCATAGTGCTGGCTGCAGCAGCCCTGACGGACAGCGAGCCACGTGACAGACCAGAGGGGGATGGAGGGGAAAGGTCACGGAAGGGGCACACCGGGAACCCGCTGGTAGGTTCTAGAAAGGGGGCGTGGCCAGGGGGTGTGGTCGGGGGCGTGGCCGGGGGCGTGGCCAGGCCACACCCCCGAGAGGGGACCTCGTGGCTGTGGTGTGGAGTGGGGTCCCCGTCGCGCCGCTGCTGCTGCCGCCGCTACCGCCGCTGCCGCCGCCACCACCACCGCCACCGCCGCCACCGCCGCTACCGCCGCTGCCGCCGCCGCTACCCCTACTGCCGCCGCTGCCACCGCTGCCGCTGCCGCCACCGCCGCCGCCGCCGCCGCCACCGCTACCGCTACCGCTGCTACCGCTGCTTCCGCCGCTGCTGCTGCTGCCACAGCCGCTGCTGCCGCTGCTGCCGCTGCTGCTACCGCTACTACCACCGCTGCTACCGCTGCTACCGCTGCTGCTGGAGTCTTCGCCATCTCGGCGTCGCCAGTCAGAGGCAGTCTGGCTGCTGTCCTGACTGGGACCGTAGTCACCAAGTGTCAACCACCACGTACACGCACACACACACACACACGCACACACGCGCACACACACACACACGTACACACGCACACCACACACCACACACACACGCACACAGGCTCTCACCTCGACATCACCCACACTCCTCTCCATCACCACCTCCTGCTGATGCTCCAGTTCCATCTCCTCCTCCTCATCCTCCTTCTCCTCCTCCAGCTGCTGCTGCTGTTGCAGCTGCACCAGCTGCACGTGCTGCAGCTGGTGCAGCTGCTGCTGCTGCTGCTGGGCCCGCTCCTGCTGCTGCACCAGCTGCTGCTTGAGATCCTCGATCTGCTGCGCACGCTGCTGCAGGTGCCGCTGCGCCAGCTGCCGCCGCTTCAGCTCCTCGCCCGCCTGCTGCGTGTGCTCCTGCTGCACATGGCGCGTGTCCTCCTGCTGCACGTGCTGCACGTCCTGCTGCTGCTGCACGTGGCGTGTGTCCTCCTGCTGCACGTGCTGCACGTGCTGATGTACTTGCTGCACATCCTCCTGCTGCGCGTGCTGCACGTCCTGCTGCTGCTGCACATGCTGCTGCACCTGATGCTGCACCTGCTGCTGCACCTGCTGCATGTCCTGCTGCTGCACCTGCTGCTGCACCTGATGCTGCACTTGCTGCTGCACCTGCTGCATGTCCTGCTGCTGCACCTGCTGCTGCACCTGATGCTGCACCAGCTGCTGCACCTGCTGCATGTCCTGCTGCTGCACCTGCTGCTGCTGCACGTCCTGCTGCTGCACATGCTGCATGTCCTCCTGCTGCATGTGCTGCACGTCCAGCTGCTGCACCTGCTGCTGCTGCTGCACGTGCTGCACCTGCTGCTGCTGCTGGGCATGCTGCCGCTTGAGCTCCTCGATCTGCTGCGAGGAGAAAAATGGTCGGCGTCGCCGTGCCGGCTCGTCGGGGTGGCCGGCCACCCAGGCGGCGAAGGCGTCGCCGTGCCGGCTGGCCACGTGCAGCCGCAGGTTCTTCTTGTGCTTGGTGGTGAAGTGGCACAGGTCACAGGGGAAGGGCTTCTCGCCTGTGCGGGGGGGAGGGAGACGCTGCGGTGGTGACGGTGGTCACGGTGGTGGTGACGGTGGTGGTGGTGACAGTGGTGGTGGTGACGGTGGTGACAGTGGTGGTGAAGTGGCACAGGTCACAGGGGAAGGGCTTCTCGCCTGCGCGGGGGGGAGGGAGACGCTGCGGTGGTGACGGTGGTCACGGTGGTGGTGACGGTGGTGGTGGTGACGGTGGTGACAGTGGTGGTGGTGACAGTGGTGGTGGTGACGGTGGTGACAGTGGTGGTGAAGTGGCACAGGTCACAGGGGAAGGGCTTCTCGCCTGCGCGGGGGGGGGGAGGGGGAGACGCTGCGGTGGTGACAGTGGTCACGGTGGTGGTAGTAACGGTGACGGTGGTGACGGTGGTGACGGTGGTGACGGTGGTGACAGTGGTGGTGGTGACGGTGGTGGCGGTGACAGTGGTTGTGCTGACGGTGACGACGGTGGTGGTGGTGACGGTGGTGGTGGTAACGGTGGTGACGGTAGCGACGGTGGGAGGGGAGGGAGGGAAGGAGGGAAGGAGGGGAGGGAGGGAGGTTAGGGAGGGGAGGGGAGGGGAAGGAGGGGAGGGAGGGAGGGGATGGAGGGAGGGGGGACACGGGGGCTGACCGGTGTGGCGGATGGCGACGTGGGCGATGAGGAAGTCCTCCTTGCTGGTGCAGTACTGGCAGTGTTCACACTTGTATGGCTTGTCGTTGGCGTGCTCCAGCTGGTGGTTGAGGACTGCCCTCTTGTTGTCGCTCGCAAAGTCGCAGTGCTCACACTTGTAGCTGCGAGGGCGACGCGGTACACCGCCACCGTCAACACCACCGCCAACGTCAACGCCACTACCAGCGTCGTCACCACCACTACCACCACCGTCAACACTACTACCACCGTCAACACTACTAACACCATCACTACCACCACCACCACCGTCAACACTACTACCACCGTCAACACTACTACCACCGTCAACACTACTACCACCATCAACACTACTACCACCGTCAACACTACTACCACCGTCAACACTACCACCGTCAACACTACCACCACCGTCACCACCACCACTACTACCAGCGTCACCACCACCACCACCGTCGTCGTCACCGTCGTCACCGTCAACACTACTACCACCGTCACCACCGTCACCACCAACACCACTACCACCACAAACACCATCACCACTACCATTACTACTACCACCATCACCTTTAACGCTATTACCACCACCACCACCACCACCATCAAGACTACTACCACCACTATGCCCACAACCATCACTACCACCACCACCACCTGTGCTACTGGTAACCATTAACCACAATCACCACCACCACCACCACAAAAAGACAAAGGCAGGCTAGCCTAAATGTTTAATCAACACCACTACCACCACCACCACCACAACCGTCACCATCAACACCACTACCACCACCACAACCACCACCACAACCACCACCTCCTCCACCTCCTCCACCTCCTTCACCTGCTGTGTCCGACGCTGACAATGTGCGTGAGGAGGTGCATCTTGAAGGTGTAGCGCTTCTTGAAGGACTTTCCACACTGAGGAGGAGGAGGAGGGGGGAGGAGGAGGGGAATTGGAGACGTTGGTAACTGATAACACAGCCGGTGACAGCCGCCGGCGACACAGCCAGTGACGACACAGCTGGTGACGACACAGCCGGTGACGACACAGCCGGTGACGACACAGCCGGTGACGACACAGCCAGTGACGACACAGCCAGTAACACAGCCGTCGGCCACACAGCCGCCGGTGACACAGCAGGCGACGACACAGCCAGCGACGACACAGCCGGTAACACAGCCAGTGACGACACAGCCGGTGATGACACAGCCGGTGAAGACACAGCCAGTGACACAGCCGGTGACGACACAGCCGGTGACGACACAGCCGGTAACACAGCCGTCGGCCACACAGCCGCCGGTGACACAGCCGGCGACGACACAGCCAACGACGACACAGCCGGTAACACAGCCAGTGACGACACAGCCGGTAACACAGCCGGCGACGACACAGCTGGTGACACAGCCGGTGACGACACAGCCAGTGACACAGCCGGTGACGACACAGCCGGTGACGACACACCCGGTAACACAGCCAGCGACGACACAGCCAGTGACACAGCCGGTGACGACACAGCCAGTGACGACACAGCCGGCGACGACACAGCCGGTGACACAGCCGGCGACGACACAGCCAGCGACGACACAGCCGGCGACGACACAGCCGGCGACGACACAGCCGGCGACACAGCCGGTGACACAGCCAGTGACGACACAGCCGGTGACGACACAGCCGGTGACACAGCCAGTGACACAGCCGGTGACGCCGCACCTTGTCACACATGTGCGGCTTCTCGGCGCTGTGCGTCTTCAGGTGCTGCGTCAGCCTCTTCTGCATGGGGTAGACGCGGCGGCAGACCGGGCACGGATACTCGCTGCTACGCGGGGCCTGCGGGAGGGGGGGGGGGGCGGAACGTCACGGCACGTCCGGCCAGCCGGTGACACGAAAAGCAGCCGCCGGTGAAACGGTCGGTGGCGGCGATAACGGTGGTGATCGTGGTGGTGATGGTGGTGGTGGTGATCGTGGTGGTGATGGTGGTGGTGATCATGGTGGTGGTGGCAGTGACGGTGGTGATCGTGGTGGTGGTGGTGACGGTGGTGATCGTGGTGGTGGTGGTGACGGTGGTGATCGTGGTGGTGGTGACGGTGGTGATCGTGGTGGTGGTGGTGACGGTGGTGATCGTGGCGGTGGTGGTGATGGTGGCAGTTAACCACAGGAGGTCGTGGCTTGAATCCTGACCCCTGTCGCGTGGGTTCACCACCACCACATTTACCACCGTCACCACCAGCACCACCACCACCACCGTCACCACCACCGTCACCACCGTCACCACCGTCACCATCACCACCACCACCACCACTCACCGGCGGGTGCTCGCGCCGCCGGTGCTCCAGGTAAGGCTTCTTTGCCGGGAAGGCCTCGGCACACTCGGCGCAGCGGTAAACCGCGGCGCCGCCGCCGTCGGCCGCCACCGCCGCGGCCGCCAGCGCTGCCGCCGCGGCCGCTCCGCCGGCGTCGGCGTCGCCGGCGTCACCGTCGTCGCCGGTGCCGGCGGCGACGGCGACGCCGGCACCGGCGTCGCCGTCGCCGCGGGCGTGCAGCTCCGCGTGGCTCTTGAGGTGCGTGTCGCGCTTGAACGCACGCCCACAGCGGTCACACACGTGGGGCCTGGGGGGGGGGCACGGGGGGGGGGGGGCACGGGGGGGGGGGCACGCCGGGGGGGGGGGGGCCGTGATGATGCAGCCCTCGCCCCTCCTACTCCAGCCTCCTCCTCCCTCCCTCCTACTCCCTCCCCTCCAACCCCCTCCCTCCTCCACCCTCCTACTCCTCACTCCCTCCTCCACCCCTCCTACTCCCTCCGCCCCTCCTACTCCCTCCTCCCCCCTCCAAACCCCACCTGCTCCCTCCCCCTCCTACTCCTCACTCCCTCCCCCCTCCCTCCTCCCTCCCCCTCCCTCCTCCCTCCCCCTCCCCCCTCCTACCGGTCCTTGCTGTGGATGGAGGCGTGCCGCGACACGTCCTTGCGGTAGACGCTGGTGTAGTCGCATTCAGCACACTTGTGAGGTTTCACTCCCTCGTGGTTGTACATGTGCTCCTGTGGGGGGGTGGTGGGGGGGTAGGGGGGGGGGTGGGGGGGTGGTGGTGGTGGTGGGGGGGGGTAGGCCACGAGGGGGACCGGTCAGGCGCGCTCCCGGTCATCCATCGCGGCGAACCCACGACCTCCCGCGTACCAGGCGAGGTGGTCAACATCTCGACATTGAACCCACGACCTCCCGCGTACCAGGCGAGGTGGTCAACATCTCTACATTGAACCCACGACCTCCTGCGTACCAGGCGAGGTGGTCAACATCTCTACATTGAACCCACAACCTCCCGCGTACCAGGCGAGGTAGTCAACATCTCTACATTGAACCCACAACCTCCCGCGTACCAGGCGAGGTAGTCAACATCTCTACATTGAACCCACAACCTCCCGCGTACCAGGCGAGGTGGTCAACATCTCTACATTGAACCCACGACCTCCCGCGTACCTGGCGAGGTAGTCAACATCTCTACATTGAACCCACGACCTCCCGCGTAGCAGGCGAGGTAGTCAACATCTCGACATTGAACCCACGACCTCCCGCGTACCAGGCGAGGTGGTCAACATCTCTACATCGAACCCACGACCTCCTGCGTACCAGGCGAGGTGGTCAACATCTCGACATTGAACCCACGACCTCCTGCGTACCAGGCGAGGTGGTCAACATCTCTACATCGAACCCACGACCTCCCGCGTACCAGGCGAGGTAGTCAACATCTCGGCATCGAACCCACGACCTCCTGCGTACCAGGCGAGGTGGTCAACATCTCTACATTGAACCCACGACCTCCTGCGTACCTGGCGAGGTAATCAACATCTCTACAATGAACCCACGACCTCCCGCGTACCAGGCGAGGTGGTCAACATCTCTACATCGAACCCACGACCTCCTGCGTACCAGGCGAGGTGGTCAACATCTCTACATTGAACCCACGACCTCCCGCGTACCAGGCAAGGTAGTCAACATCTCGACATTGAACCCACGACCTCCTGCGTACCAGGCGAGGTGGTCAACATCTCTACATTGAACCCACGACCTCCCGCATACCAGGCGAGGTAGTCAACATCTCTACATTGAACCCACGACCTCCTGCGTACCAGGCGAGGTGGTCAACATCTCTACATTGAACCCACGACCTCCCGCGTACCAGGCGAGGTGGTCAACATCTCTACATCGAACCCACGACCTCCCGCGTACCAGGCGAGGTGGTCAACATCTCTACATCGAACCCACGACCTCCCGCGTACCAGGCGAGGTAGTCAACATCTCTACAATGAACCCACGACCTCCCGCGTACCAGGCGAGGTGGTCAACATCTCTACATTGAACCCACGACCTCCCGCGTACCAGGCGAGGTAGTCAACATCTCTGCATTGAACCCACGACCTCCCGCGTACCAGGCGAGGTGGTCAACATCTCTACATTGAACCCACGACCTCCCGCGTAGCAGGCGAGGTGGTCAACATCTCTACAATGAACCCACGACCTCCTGCGTACCAGGCGAGGTGGTCAACATCTCGACATCGAACCCACGACCTCCTGCGTACCAGGCGAGGTGGTCAACATCTCGACATCGAACCCACGACCTCCTGCGTACCAGGCGAGGTAGTCAACATCTCTACAATGAACCCACGACCTCCCGCGTACCAGGCGAGGTGGTCAACATCTCTACATTGAACCCACGACCTCCCGCGTACCAGGCGAGGTAGTCAACATCTCTACATTGAACCCACGACCTCCCGCGTACCAGGCGAGGTAGTCAACATCTCTACATTGAACCCACGACCTCCTGCGTACCAGGCGAGGTAGTCAACATCTCTACATCGAACCCACGACCTCCCGCGTACCAGGCGAGGTAGTCAACATCTCTACATTGAACCCACGACCTCCCGCGTACCAGGCGAGGTGGTCAACATCTCTACATTGAACCCACGACCTCCCGCGTACCAGGCGAGGTAGTCAACATCTCTACAATGAACCCACGACCTCCTGCGTACCAGGCGAGGTAGTCAACATCTCTACATTGAACCCACGACCTCCCGCGTACCAGGCGAGGTAGTCAACATCTCTACATTGAACCCACGACCTCCCGCGTACCAGGCGAGGTGGTCAACATCTCTACAATGAACCCACGACCTCCCGCGTACCAGGCGAGGTAGTCAACATCTCTACAATGAACCCACGACCTCCTGCGTACCAGGCGAGGTAATCAACATCTCTACATCGAACCCACGACCTCCCGCGTACCAGGCGAGGTAGTCAACATCTCTACATTGAACCCACGACCTCCCGCGTACCAGGCGAGGTGGTCAACATCTCTACATTGAACCCACGACCTCCCGCGTACCAGGCGAGGTAGTCAACATCTCTACAATGAACCCACGACCTCCTGCGTACCAGGCGAGGTAATCAACATCTCTACATCGAACCCACGACCTCCCGCGTACCAGGCGAGGTAGTCAACATCTCTACATTGAACCCACGACCTCCCGCGTACCAGGCGAGGTGGTCAACATCTCTACAATGAACCCACGACCTCCCGCGTACCAGGCGAGGTAGTCAACATCTCTACATTGAACCCACGACCTCCCGCGTACCAGGCGAGGTGGTCAACATCTCTACAATGAACCCACGACCTCCCGCGTACCAGGCGAGGTAGTCAACATCTCAACATTGAACCCACGACCTCCTGCGTACAAGGAACCCACGACCTCCCGCGTACCAGGCGAGGTAGTCAACATCTCTACATTGAACCCACGACCTCCTGCGTACCAGGCGAGGTGGTCAACATCTCTACATTGAACCCACGACCTCCTGCGTACCAGGCAAGGTGGTCAACATCTCTACATTGAACCCACGACCTCCTGCGTACCAGGCGAGGTGGTCAACATCTCTACATTGAACCCACGACCTCCCGCGTACCAGGCGAGGTGGTCAACATCTCGACATCGAATCCACGACCTCCCGCGTACCAGAGATGAGAGAGATGAGAGAGATGAGAGAGAGATGAGAGAGATGAGAGAGAGAAAGATGATAGAGAGAGATGAGACAGATGAGAGAGATGAGACAGATGAGAGAGAGAGAGCGATGAGAGATGAGAGAGATGAGAGAGAGATGAGAGAGAGAGCGATGAGAGATGAGAGAGATGAGATGAGAGATGAGAGAGATGAGATGAGAGAGATGAGAGAGATGAGATGAGAGAGAGATGAAATGAGAGATGAGAGAGATGAGAGAGATGAGAGAGATGAGAGAGCGATGAGAGAAATGAGAGAGATGAGAGAGAGAGATGAGAGAGAGATGAGAGAGAGAGATGAGAGAGATGAGAGAGAGAGAGAGATGAGAGAGATGAGACAGATGAGAGAGAGAGCGATGAGAGATGAGAGAGATGAAATGAGAGATGAGATGATAAAGAGAGAGATGAGAGAGATGAGAGAGAGATGAGAGAGAGATGATAGAGATGAGAGATGAGATGAGAGAGAGATGAGAGAGATGAGAGAGATGAGAGCGATGAGAGATGAGAGAGATGAGAGAGATGAGAGAGATGAGATTAGAGAGATGAGATGAGAGATGATAGAGAGATGAGAGAGATGATAGAGAGAGAGAGATGAGAGAGAGATGATATAGAGATGATAGAGAGATGATAGAGAGATGATAGAGAGAGAGAGATGATGAGAGAGATGAGAGAGAGATGAGAGAGAGATGATAGAGAGAGATGAGAGAGATGAGAGAGAGATGATAGAGAGAGATGAGATGAGAGAGAGATGATAGAGTGAGATGATAGAGAGAGATGAGAGAGATGAGAGAGATGATAGAGAGAGATGATAGAGAGAGAGATGAGAGATGATAGAGAGAGATGATAGAGAGAGAGATGATAGAGAGAGAGAGATGAGAGAGAGATGATAGAGATGAGATGAGAGAGAGATGATAGAGAGAGATGAGATGATAGAGAGAGATGAGATGATGAGAGAGAGATGAGAGATGAGAGAGAGATGATAGAGAGAGATGATAGAGAGAGATGATGAGAGAGAGAGATGAGAGAGAGATGAGAGAGAGATGAGAGAGATGAGAGAGATGATAGAGAGAGATGATAGAGAGAGATGAGAGATGAGAGAGATGCTAGAGAGAGATGATAGAGAGATGAGAGAGATGAGAGAGAGATGATAGAGAGAGATGATAGAGAGAGATGAGAGAGAGATGAGGGAACCTTCAGCGAAGACCACCGCTTGCAGCGGTAGTTGCAGTGCCGGCAGCGGAAGCGTTCGGGGTCGTGGCCGTCGTGTGCCGCCTCGTGGAAGGCCAGATCCTCCGGCGACAGGAAGCGCGAGCCGCACAGGGCGCACCGGTGTGGCCGGAGGCGGGGCCGGCCCGGCCGGTAGCCGTGCTGGTACCTGCACTCCCGAACCGACGTGGCGTCACGTGACGTGACGTGGCGTGGTGTGACGTGACGTGGCGTGGTGTGACGTGGTGTGACGTGGTGTGGTGTGACGTGGCGTGGTGTGACGTGGCGTGGCGTGACGTGACGTGGTGGAGGGAAAGATGGGGGGCTGGGCGGGGTTAGGGGGGGGCGGCCGTGAGGTCACGTGACCGCAGGATGGCGATGGTGACGATGGTGATGGGGGCGGGTGGAGGGAAAGGGGGGGGCTGGACGTGAGGGCAGGATGACGATGATGGTGAGAATGATGACGTTGGTGACGATGACGACGACGATGAAGATGACCATGATGATGACCATGATGATGATGACGATGATGACGATAATGATGACGATGATGACGAGGATGACGAAGATGACGATGATGACGACGACGACGACGACGATGATGACAATGGTGAGAATGGTGACGATGACGACGATGGTGACGATGACGACGACGACGACTTTGGTAGTGCGACGGTGCGGTGGTGCCGCCACCTGTTGTAGTATCTCCGGTAGCCCCGCCGGCCGTATCTCTTAGGGGGGCGGCCCCTCCGCTTGGGAGTGTGGGACCCCTCCCCCTCCTCCCCTTCCCCCCCCTCCTCCCCCTCCCCCTCCTCCTCCTCCCCCTCCCCCTCCCCCCCCTCCTGCCCCCCCTCCCCGGGACCACCCCCCGCCACGTCGCCGGGGGCGGCTTCCGGCGGCACGGCCGCCACCCCCCTCCCGACCGGCGCCCTCCTCTCCCCCTCCCGATTGGCCGATCGCTCGGCCCGCCCCGCGGCATCCTGGGAAACGGAGGGCGGCGGCGGCAGGGGGGGCGGCAGGGGGGGCGGCCCCCGGGGTCCTGGGGTCGGGGCGTCCGCTGGGGGTGCCCGCGTTGTCGACGGCGGTGCTGAGGACAACAACAACAACAAAATACAACAACAACAACAAAATACAACAACAACAAAATACAACAACAACAAAATACAACAACAAAATACAACAACAACAAAATACAACAACAACAAAATACAACAACAACAAAATACAACAACAACAAAATACAACAACAACAAAATACAACAACAACAACAAAATACAACAACAACAACAAAATACAACAACAACAAAATACAACAACAACAAAATACAACAACAACAAAATACAACAACAACAAAATACAACAACAACAAAATACAACAACAACAAAATACAACAACAACAAAATACAACAACAACAACAAAATACAACAACAACAACAAAATACAACAACAACAAAATACAACAACAAAATACAACAACAACAAAATACAACAACAAAATACAACAACAACAAAATACAACAACAAAATACAACAACAACAACAAAATAACAAAACACAAAAATGTCATCGCCCTCCTCTGCTGCTGCTGGATGAGGGCCTTACAGCACTTGCCTCTACAGCCCTGCTAGAGGCTACACGGGGCACCTTTGTCTGTGTGTCTATAGGGCACTGCTGCTGCTACTAACAGCACTTGCCCCTACAGCCCTGCTAGAGGCTACACGGGGCACCTTTGTCTGTGTGTCTATAGGACACTGCTGCTGCTGCTACTAGCAGCACTTGCCCCTACAGCCCTGCTAGAGGCTACACGGGTCACCTTTGTCTGTGTGTCTATAGGGCACTGCTGCTGCTACTCACAGCACTTGCCCCTACAGCCCTGCTAGAGGCTACACGGGGGACCTTTGTCTGTGTGTATATAGGGCACTGCTGCTGCTGCTACTAGCAGCACTTGCCCCTACAGCCCTGCTAGAGGCTACACGGGTCACCTTTGTCTGTGTGTCTATAGGGCACTGCTGCTGCTACTCACAGCACTTGCCCCTACAGCCCTGCTAGAGGCTACACGGGGGACCTTTGTCTGTGTGTCTATAGGACACCGCTGCTGCTACTCACAGCACTTGCCCCTACAGCCCTGCTAGAGGCTACACGGGGGACCTTTGTCTGTGTGTCTATAGGACACTGCTGCTGCTACTCACAGCACTTGCCCCCTTACAACCCAACCTGAGGCTACACGGGGGACCTTTGTCTGTGTGTCTATTTGACACCGCTGCTGCCACTAACAGCACTTGCCCCTACAGCCCTGCTAGAGGCTACACGGGGGACCTTTGTCTTTGGTTGCGAGCAGCTACCCGGCTGCTGCACGGCACCGGCGGTCGCCGTGACGACGGCGAGGGCGGCGTTCCCGGCGTTCCCGGCGTTCCCGGCGTTCCCGGCGTTCCCGGCGTTCCCGGCGTTCCCGGCGTTCCCGGCGTTCCCGGCCGCGTCGAGCCGCGGGTATTTCCTCGGGCGGCCGGGCCTCCGGCGGGGCCTGCCGTCCGCGGCGGCGCCGGGCGCCCCCCGGGGCCCCGGCGAGGGGCCGGGCCTGGTCGGGGCCGCTGGGGCCTGGCGGCCACGGGAGGCATCGTCCAGAGGGTTGTAGTCACTGTCGGCTGTCGCCCGGTGGGAGACGGGGGGGGGAGACACACGTCAGAGGTGTCGCAGAGAGTCTGTGGGTCTCTGTGTGATGAGTCTATGGGTCTCTGCTGTGTGGTGAGTCTGTGGGTCTCTGTGTGGTGAGTCTGTGGGTCTCTGTGTGATGAGTCTATGGCTCTCTGTGTGGTGAGTCTGTGGGTCTCTGCTGTGTGATGAGTCTGTGGGTCTCTGTGTGGTGAGTTTGTGGGTCTCTGTGTGGTGAGTCTGTGGGTCTCTGCTGTGTGATGAGTCTATGGGTCTCTGTGTGATGAGTCTATGGGTCTCTGTGTGGTGAGTCTATGGGTCTCTGTGTGGTGAGTCTGTGGGTCTCTGTGTGGTGAGTCTGTGGGTCTCTGTGTGGTGAGTCTATGGGTCTCTGTGTGATGAGTCTATGGGTCTCTGTGTGGTGAGTCTGTGGGTCTCTGTTGTGTGATGAGTCTATGGGTCTCTGTGTGGTGAGTCTGTGGGTCTCTGCTGTGTGATGAGTCTATGGGTCTCTGTGTGGTGAGTCTGTGGGTCTCTGCTGTGTGGTGAGTCTGTGGGTCTCTGTGTGGTGAGTTTGTGGGTCTCTGTGTGGTGAGTCTGTGGGTCTCTGCTGTGTGATGAGTCTATGGGTCTCTGTGTGATGAGTCTATGGGTCTCTGTGTGGTGAGTCTATGGGTCTCTGTGTGGTGAGTCTGTGGGTCTCTGTGTGGTGAGTCTGTGGGTCTCTGTGTGGTGAGTCTGTGGGTCTCTGTTGTGTGATGAGTCTATGGGTCTCTGTGTGGTGAGTCTGTGGGTCTCTGTTGTGTGATGAGTCTATGGGTCTCTGTGTGGTGAGTCTGTGGGTCTCTGTTGTGTGATGAGTCTATGGGTCTCTGTGTGGTGAGTCTGTGGGTCTCTGCTGTGTGGTGAGTCTGTGGGTCTCTGTGTGGTGAGTTTGTGGGTCTCTGTGTGGTGAGTCTGTGGGTCTCTGTGTGGTGAGTCTGTGGGTCTCTGTGTGGTGAGTCTGTGGGTCTCTGCTGTGTGATGAGTCTATGGGTCTCTGTGTGATGAGTCTATGGGTCTCTGTGTGGTGAGTCTATGGGTCTCTGTGTGGTGAGTCTGTGGGTCTCTGTGTGGTGAGTCTGTGGGTCTCTGTGTGGTGAGTCTGTGGGTCTCTGTGTGGTGAGTCTGTGGGTCTCTGTGTGGTGAGTCTGTGGGTCTCTGTGTGGTGAGTCTGTGGGTCTCTGTGTGGTGAGTCTGTGGGTCTCTGTGTGGTGAGTCTGTGGGTCTCTGTGTGGTGAGTCTGTGGGTCTCTGTGTGGTGAGTCTATGGGTCTCTGCTGTGTGATGAGTCTATGGGTCTCTGTGTGGTGAGTCTGTGGGTCTCTGTGTGGTGAGTCTGTGGGTCTCTGTGTGGTGAGTCTGTGGGTCTCTGTGTGGTGAGTCTGTGGGTCTCTGTGTGGTGAGTCTGTGGGTCTCTGCTGTGTGATGAGTCTGTGGGTCTCTGTGTGGTGAGTCTGTGGGTATCTGTGTGGTGAGTTTGTGGGTCTCTGTGTGGTGAGTCTGTGGGTCTCTGTGTGGTGAGTCTGTGGGTCTCTGTGTGGTGAGTCTGTGGGTCTCTGTGTGGTGAGTCTGTGGGTCTCTGCTGTGTGATGAGTCTATGGGTCTCTGTTGTGTGATGAGTCTATGGGTCTCTGTGTGGTGAGTCTGTGGGTCTCTGCTGTGTGATGAGTCTATGGGTCTCTGCTGTGTGATGAGTCTATGGGTCTCTGCTGTGTGATGAGTCTATGGCTCTCTGCTGTGTGATGAGTCTATGGGTCTCTGCTGTGTGATGAGTCTATGGGTCTCTATGATGAGTCTATGGGTCTCTAGGACTCTATGGGTCTCTAGGACTCTATGGGTCTCTAGGACTCTATGGGTCTCTATGATGACTCTATGGGTCTCTAGGACTCTATGGGTCTCTAGGACTCAATGGGTCTCTATGATGACTCTATGGGTTTCTGAGACTCTATGGGTTTCTGAGACTCTATGGGTCTCTAGGACTCTATGGGTCTCTAGGACTCTATGGGTCTCTGTGTGAGTCTATGGGTCTCTGTGTGGTGAGTCTATGGGTCTCTAGGACTCTATGGGTCTCTATGATGAGTGATGAGTCTATGGGTCTCTATGATGAGTCTATGGGTCTCTAGGACTCTGTGGGTCTCTGTGTGAGTCTATGGGTCTCTGTGTGGTGAGTCTATGGGTCTCTAGGACTCTATGGGTCTCTATGATGAGTGATGAGTCTATGGGTCTCTATGATGAGTCTATGGGTCTCTATGTGAGTCTATGGGTCTCTGAGACTCTATGGGTCTCTAGGACTCTGTGGGTCTCTGAGACTCTATGGGTCTCTGTGTGAGTCTATGGGTCTCTAGGACTCTATGGGTCTCTGCTGTGTGATGACTCTATGGGTCTCTAGGACTCTATGGGTCTCTATGATGACTCTATGGGTCTCTAGGACTCTATGGGTCTCTATGATGACTCTATGGGTCTCTAGGACTCTATGGGTCTCTAGGACTCTATGGGTCTCTATGATGACTCTATGGGTCTCTAGGACTCTATGGGTCTCTATGATGACTCTATGGGTCTCTAGGACTCTATGGGTCTCTAGGACTCTATGGGTCTCTAGGACTCTATGGGTCTCTATGATGACTCTATGGGTCTCTAGGACTCTATGGGTCTCTATGATGACTCTATGGGTCTCTAGGACTCTATGGGTCTCTATGATGACTCTATGGGTCTCTAGGACTCTATGGGTCTCTAGGACTCTATGGGTCTCTAGGACTCTATGGGTCTTTGTGTGATGAGTCTATGGGTCTCTGTGTGGTGACTCTATGGGTCTCTAGGACTCTATGGGTCTCTGTGTGATGAGTCTATGGGTCTCTGTGTGGTGACTCTATGGGTCTCTAGGACTCTATGGGTCTCTGTGTGATGAGTCTATGGGTCTCTGTGCGGTGACTCTATGGGTCTCTAGGACTCTATGGGTCTCTGTGTGATGAGTCTATGGGTCTCTGTGTGGTGACTCTATGGGTCTCTAGGACTCTATGGGTCTCTGTGTGATGAGTCTATGGGTCTCTGTGTGGTGACTCTATGGGTCTCTAGGACTCTATGGGTCTCTGTGTGATGAGTCTATGGGTCTCTGTGTGGTGACTCTATGGGTCTCTAGGACTCTATGGGTCTCTGTGTGATGAGTCTATGGGTCTCTGTGTGGTGACTCTATGGGTCTCTAGGACTCTATGGGTCTCTGTGTGATGAGTCTATGGGTCTCTGTGTGGTGACTCTATGGGTCTCTAGGACTCTATGGGTCTCTGTGTGATGAGTCTATGGGTCTCTGTGTGGTGACTCTATGGGTCTCTAGGACTCTATGGGTCTCTGTGTGATGAGTCTATGGGTCTCTGTGTGGTGACTCTATGGGTCTCTAGGACTCTATGGGTCTCTGTGTGATGAGTCTATGGGTCTCTGTGTGGTGACTCTATGGGTCTCTAGGACTCTATGGGTCTCTGTGTGATGAGTCTATGGGTCTCTGTGTGGTGACTCTATGGGTCTCTAGGACTCTATGGGTCTCTGTGTGATGAGTCTATGGGTCTCTGTGTGGTGACTCTATGGGTCTCTAGGACTCTATGGGTCTCTGTGTGATGAGTCTATGGGTCTCTGTGTGGTGACTCTATGGGTCTCTAGGACTCTATGGGTCTCTGTGTGATGAGTCTATGGGTCTCTGTGTGGTGACTCTATGGGTCTCTAGGACTCTATGGGTCTCTGTGTGATGAGTCTATGGGTCTCTGTGTGGTGACTCTATGGGTCTCTAGGACTCTATGGGTCTCTATGATGAGTCTATGGGTCTCTGTGTGGTGACTCTATGGGTCTCTAGGACTCTATGGGTCTCTGTGTGATGAGTCTATGGGTCTCTGTGTGGTGACTCTATGGGTCTCTAGGACTCTATGGGTCTCTGTGTGATGAGTCTATGGGTCTCTGTGTGGTGACTCTATGGGTCTCTAGGACTCTATGGGTCTCTATGATGAGTCTATGGGTCTCTGTGTGGTGACTCTATGGGTCTCTAGGACTCTATGGGTCTCTGTGTGATGAGTCTATGGGTCTCTGTGTGGTGACTCTATGGGTCTCTAGGACTCTATGGGTCTCTGTGTGATGAGTCTATGGGTCTCTGTGTGGTGACTCTATGGGTCTCTAGGACTCTATGGGTCTCTGTGTGATGAGTCTATGGGTCTCTGTGTGGTGACTCTATGGGTCTCTAGGACTCTATGGGTCTCTGTGTGATGAGTCTATGGGTCTCTGTGTGGTGACTCTATGGGTCTCTAGGACTCTATGGGTCTCTGTGTGATGAGTCTATGGGTCTCTGTGTGGTGACTCTATGGGTCTCTAGGACTCTATGGGTCTCTATGATGAGTCTATGGGCCCCCCCCCCCCATCCCTCACCGTCCCTGTCGTCGATGGCGCCGGCGTCGATGATGTCGTCGTCGTCGGGGTCACCGGGGTCGCCGGGGTCACCGGGGTCACCGGGGCCCGGCACGGCCCCCGAGAGGGGGGCCGCCCCCCGCGGCGGGGGGCGCCCCCCTCGCGTCGCCGGGGGCGGCGGCGGCGGCGGCAGTGCCGGCGCCGGTGAGGGCGGCCGCTTACGAGGGCGGCCTCGTCCACGCTTGCGGGGCAGCTGGGCACAGCCTGGGGGGGCGGGGGGGAGGGGAGGGGGCGGGGGGGAGGGGCACGGGCGTCGATGGTTGGCACTGTGTGTAGCTGTGTGTGTGTGTCTGCGTGTAGCTGTGTGTGTGTGTCTGTGTGTAGCTGTGTGTAGCTGTGTGTGTCTGTGTGTGTGTGTAGCTGTGTGTGTGTCTGTGTGTAGCTGTGTGTGTCTGTGTGTGTGTGTGTAGCTGTGTGTGTCTGTGTGTGTCTGTGTGACTGTGTGTAGCTGTGTGTGTCTGTGTGTAGCTGTGTGTGTCTGTGTGTGTAGCTGTGTGTGTGTCTGTGTGTAGCTGTGTGTGTCTGTGTGTGTGTGTGTAGCTGTGTGTGTCTGTGTGTGTCTGTGTGTAGCTGTGTGTGTGTGTGTCTGTGTGTAGCTGTGTGTGTGTGTGTCTGTGTGTAGCTGTGTGTGTGTCTGTGTGTAGCTGTGTGTGTGTCTGTGTGTAGCTGTGTGTGTGTGTGTCTGTGTGTAGCTGTGTGTGTGTGTCTGTGTGTAGCTGTGTGTGTGTCTGTGTGTAGCTGTGTGTGTGTGTCTGTGTGTAGCTGTGTGTGTGTCTGTGTGTAGCTGTGTGTGTGTGTCTGTGTGTAGCTGTGTGTGTGTCTGTGTGTAGCTGTGTGTGTGTGTGTCTGTGTGTAGCTGTGTGTGTGTGTGTCTGTGTGTAGCTGTGTGTGTGTCTGTGTGTAGCTGTGTGTGTGTGTCTGTGTGTAGCTGTGTGTGTGTCTGTGTGTAGCTGTGTGTGTGTGTGTAGCTGTGTGTGTGTCTGTGTGTAGCTGTGTGTGCGTGTGTCTGTGTGTAGCTGTGTGTAGCTGTGTGTGTGTCTGTGTGTAGCCGTGTGTGTGTCTGTGTGTAGCTGTGTGTGTGTGTGTCTGTGTTGTGTGTCTGTGTGTAGCTGTGTGTGTCTGTGTGTGTGTGTCTATGTGTGCCTGTGTGTAGCTGTGTGTGTGTCTGGGTGTAGCTGTGTGTGTGTGTGTCTGTGTGTAGCTGTGTGTGTGACAGTGTGTGCGTGTGTCTGTGTGTAGCTGTGTGCGTGTGACTGTGTGTGTGTCTGTGTGTAGCTGTGTGTGTGTCTGTGTGTGTGTGTCTGTGTGTAGATGTGCGTGTCTGTGTGTAGCTCTGTGTGTGTGACTGTGTGTGTGTCTGTAGTAGCTGTGTGACTGTGTGTGTCTATGTGTATCTGTGGGCGTGTGTCTGTGTGTGCGTGTGTCTGTGTGTAGCTGTGTGCGTGTGACTGTGTGTGTGTGTGTCTGTGTGTAGCTGTGCGTGTGACTGTGTGTGTGTCTGTGTGTAGCTGTGTGTGTCTGTGTGTGTCTGTGTGTAGCTGTGTGCGTGTGACTGTGTGTGCGTCTGTGTGTAGCTGTGTGCGTGTGACTGTGTGTGTGTGTCTGTGTGTAGCTGTGTGTGTCTGTGTGTAGCTGTGTGCGTGTGACTGTGTGTGTGTCTATGTGTAGCTGTGTGTGTGTCTGTGTGTAGCTGTGTGTGTGTGACTGTGTGTGTGTCTGTAGTAGCTGTGTGACTGTGTGTGTCTATGTGTATCTGTGGGCGTGTGTCTGTGTGTGCGTGTCCAGTTTAACAGCAGAGGTCTCACTCCAAATCAGTCGAGTGGCAATATCTTTTCATCGGTTGCGTAACGCTGTGTGGAAGCTACCTGGTCTGTCGCTCCGCACTAAGCTTTAGGTCTTCTCGGCCACGGTCATTCCCTCCCTTCTCTACGCTTGCGAAACGTGGACCCCCCTAATGGAACATCTTCGCCGGTTAGAAACATTTAGGCTGGCCTGCCTACGATCCATCCTGGGTTTAACCAGACTGGATTGTGTGAGGAGCTCAAAAATCCTTGAAAGATCTGGGCAAGGTCCCATCGGTGAGCTCCTCCGGCGGGGAAGGCTGCGATGGCTGGGTCATGTAGCCCGCATGCCCAGCCACCGCATGCCGAAACAGCTTTTGTTCGGCCGGATTGAGGGGGCTAAGCGGGCGCGGCACGGGCTAGAGAAGAGATGGAGCGAAGCGGTACGGGAGGATGTGGAGCTGAGTGGACTTGCCGATGACTGGTACCAGCGGTGTCAAGATCGGCCTCTGTGGAGGAGGCTCGTGAAGGATGCTACTGGGCAGTTGGAGGTAGTCGCCCTCCAACAACAACGGAGGGCGACTACCTCCCCTAGGTCAACTCAGCCTCAAATGAGTACTTTGTGTGATGTGTGAGCATCGCCACTGGGGAGACAAAGGCGTCCGGGTATGGTGCTAGCCACCCACCCCCTCGTGTGCTGTGCCGGCCTTCATAGGTGCTCGCTAACAGCACTTGCCCCTACAGTCTGTTAAGGCTACACGGGTTATTTTTGTCTTTGTGTCCGTGTGTAACTGTGTGTGCCTGTGTGTAACTGTGTGTAGCTGTGTGTGTCTGTGTGTGTGTCTGTGTCTAGCTGTGTGTAGCTGTGTGTGTCTGTGTGTAGCTGTGTGTAGCTGTGTCTGTGTAGCTGTGTGTAGCTGTGTGTGTAGCTGTGTGTAGCTGTGTGTGTGTGTCTGTGTGTAGCTGTGTGTAGCTGTGTCTGTGTGGCTGTGTGTAGCTGTGTGTGTAGCTGTGTGTAGCTGTGTGTGTGTGTCTGTGTATAGCTGTGTGTGTGTGTGTCTGTGTGTAGCTGTGTGTAGCTGTGTGTAGCTGTGTCTGTGTAGCTGTGTGTAGCTGTGTGTGTAGCTGTGTGTAGCTGTGTGTGTGTGTCTGTGTGTAGCTGTGTGTAGCTGTGTCTGTGTAGCTGTGTGTAGCTGTGTGTGTAGCTGTGTGTAGCTGTGTGTGTGTGTCTGTGTGTAGCTGTGTGTGTGTGTCTGTGTGTAGCTGTGTGTAGCTGTGTGTAGCTGTGTGGTGTGCGGTGTTGTGTGTGCCATGTGCCGTGTGCGGTGTCGTGTGTTCGGCGTGTGCCGTGTGCGCCATTGTGCGTGCCGGTGCGTGCCGGTGCGTGCCGGTGCGTGCCGGTGCTCACCGGGACTGAGGTGGCGCTCCTTCATGTGGCCGATGAGGCTGTCCCGCGACTGGCTCTTGTACGGGCAAATCTTGCACCGGAACTGCCGGACCACCACCACCTCCATCATGTCGTCCAGGTTCAGCATCCCGAACGTCAAGCCAACGTCGCCGTCGCCGCCTTCTCCCGCCAGCCGCAAGGGCCCCTCCGATTGGTCGGCGGGCGTCAAAAGCAGCGGCCGCTCCGATTGGTCGGCGGCCGGCCACGACGACGGCCGCTCCGATTGGCCGGCGGGCGTCGACGGCGGTGGCCGCCCCTCCGATTGGTCGGCACCCGGCCTCGACGGCGCCCGTTCCGATTGGTCGGCGGGCGTCAAAAGCAGCGGCCGCTCCGATTGGTCGTCTCCCGGCCTCGACAACGGCCGCTCCGATTGGTCGGCGGGCATCAACAGCAACAGCTGCTCCGATTGGTCGGCCCCGGGCATTGAGAACGGCTGCACCGATTGGTCGGCGGGCGTCAACAGCAGCAGCTGCTTTGATTGGTCAGCCCCCGACCTTGACAGCGGCCGTTCCGATTGGTCGGCGGGTGTCAATAGCAGCAGCTGCTCTGATTGGTTGGCTCTTGGCCTTGACAATGGCTGTTCCGATTGGTCGGCGGGTGTCAATAGCAACAGCTGCTCCGATTGGTTGGCTCCTGGCCTTGACAATGGCTGTTCTGATTGGTCGGCGGGTGTCAACAGCAGCGGCCGCTCCGTTTGGTCAGCCCCAGGCCTCAACAATGGCTGCTCCGATTGGTCGGCGGGCGTCAACAGCAGCAGCTGCTCTGATTGGTCAGCCCCCGGCCTTGACAGCGGCCTTTCCGATTGGTCGGCGGGTGTCAATAGCAGCAGCTGCTCTGATTGGTTGGCTCCTGGCCTTGACAACAGCTGTTCTGATTGGTCGGCGGGTGTCAACAGCAGCGGCCGCTCCGATTGGTTGGCCGACGGACTTGACAATGCCCGCTCAGACTGGTCGGCGGGCGCCAATAGCAGCAGCAGTTCTGATTGGTCAGCCCCGGGCCTCAACAATGGCTGCTCCGATTGGTCGGCGGGTGTCAACAACAACAGCTGCTCCGATTGGCCGGATCCTGGCCTTGACAACGGCTGTTCTGATTGGTCGGCGGGCGTCAACAGCAGCGGCCGCTCCGATTGGTCGGCCGCAGGGCTCGACGACGGCCGTTCCGATTGGTCGGCGGGCGTCAACAACAGCAGATGCCCCGATTGGTCGGCCCCCGGCCTCGACGACGGCCGTTCCGATTGGTCGGCGGGCGTCAACAGCAGCGATGGCTCCGATTGGTCGGCCGTAGGGCTCGACGGCCGCTCCGATTGGTCGACCGTCAGCAACGGCGACCGCTCAGATTGGTCGGCCGGAGACGGCGACGTCCCGGCGGCCCTCCCGGGCCGCCCCGATTGGTCGGCCGCGGGCAGCGAGCGTTCCGATTGGTCGGCGGGCGACAGCAGCCGCTCCGATTGTTCGGCCGCGGGCAGCGAGCGTTCCGATTGGTCGGCAGACGTCGATGTGGGGCCGTCGCCGAGATCGACGCGGCGGGAAAAGCGACGACGCTGACGACGACGACGCTCACTGCTGGGGCCTACGGGTGGGGGGGTAGGGGGGGGTAGGGGGGGTAGGGGGTGCGGTGTGGGGGGGTGGGGGGGTGGGGGGAGGTGGGGGGGGTAGGAGGGTGAGGGGGGTGGGCAGCAGCGCGACCGCGGCGCCACCACTCGCCACCAAAGCACAGCAACGACCACAACAATCGCCACAACGGCAACCACCACCACCACACGACAACAACAACCACAACAACAACAACAACAACCACGACAACAACAACCACAACAACCACAACAACAACCACAACAACAACCACAACAACCACAACAACAACCACAACAACAACAACCACAACAACAACAACCACAACAACAACAACCACAACAACAACCACAACAACCACAACAACAACAACCAGGAAGCGAGGGGGGAGGGAGGGGAAGAGGAGGGGGCAGGGGGAGTGACGTTGCCGTGGGAACGGCAGCCGCTTGGTAACCGCGGCGACCGCGCGTGGTGCGTGGACAGGCGGCGACCCACCGGGGCTGGAGCCGCACGGCAGCACGGCGAGTCGCTCCGCACAGCCCGCGGCGGCCTCCTCACCGGCGTCGTCCTCACCGGCGGCCTCCTCACCGGCGTCGTCCTCACCGGCGTCGTCCTCACCGGCGTCGTCTTCACCGGCGTCGTCCTCACCGGCGGCCTCCTCACCGGCGTCGTCCTCACCGGCGTCGTCCTCACCGGCGTCGTCCTCACCGGCGTCGTCCTCACCGGCGTCCTCACCGGCGTCGTCCTCACCGGCGTCGTCCTCACCGGCGTCGTCGCCAGCGCTCGTCACGGCAACGCAGCCTGCGACGATCGCGCAACCACAGCAACCACCTCGGCGTTACCGTGACGACGACGACAAACCCACGACCTCCTACGTAACCCCCCCCCACCACCAACCCCCCACCACCACCCCCCCACCCCCCCACCACCACCCCCACACCACCACCCCCCCACCACCACCTCAACACCACAACCACCCCCAACACCACCCCCCCACCACCACACCCCCCCACCACCACCGCCCCCCCCACCACCACCCCCCCACCACCACCCCCCCACCACCACCACCACCACCACAACCACCCCCCCACCACCACCTCAACACCACAACCAGCCCCACTACCACCCCCCCACCACCACCACCACCACCCCCCCACCACCACCACCACCACCCCCCACCACCACCACCCCCCCCCCCCCACCCCCACCACCCCCCACCCCCCCCACCGCACCACGCAGGGTGTCCGAGCCGATGGTGGACTCGATGATCTTGCGTAGAGGCGAGCGCACGTGGCTGGAGGTGGGGGCCGCGGGGTCGCGGGCGGTAGTCGTGGCGACGCCCAGCGACGAGGAGGAGGAGGTGGAGGAGGAGGTGGAGGAGGAGGTGGAGGAGGAGGAGGTGGAGGAGGAGGTGGAGGAGGAGGAGGTGGAGGAGCGTTGGAGGGATTGGGACACGGAGGAGGGGCGTGGGCACGGAGGTGAGGAGGAGTCTGGGAGGTGCTCCGAGCGGGGGCAGCAGCTCACCACACGGGCACCCTGAGGCACACAGAGATCCATAGAGTTACACAGAGATCCATAGAGTTACACAGAGATCCAGAGTTACACAGAGATCCATAGAGTTACACAGAGATCCATAGAGTTACACAGAGATCCATAGAGTTACACAGAGATCCATAGAGTTACACAGAGATCCATAGATTTACACAGAGATCCATAGAGTTACACAGAGATCCATAGAGTCACACAGAGAACCATAGAGTTACACAGAGATCCATAGAGTTACACAGAGATCCATAGAGTTACACAGAGATCCATAGAGTTACACAGAGATCCATATAGTTACACAGAGATCCATAGAGTTACACAGAGATCCATAGATTTACACAGAGATCCATAGAGTTACACAGAGATCCATAGAGTTACACAGAGATCCATAGAGTTACACAGAGATCCATAGAGTTACACAGAGATCCATAGAGTTACACAGAGATCCATAGAGTTACACAGAGATCCATAGAGTTACACAGAGATCCATAGAGTTACACAGAGATCCATAGAGTCACACAGAGATCCATAGAGTTACACAGAGATCCATAGAGTTACACAGAGATCCATAGAGTTACACAGAGATCCATAGAGTCACACAGAGATCCATAGAGGCACACAGAGATCCATAGAGTTACACAGAGATCCATAGAGTTACACAGAGATCCATAGAGTTACACAGAGATCCATAGAGTCACACAGAGATCCATAGAGTCACACAGAGATCCATAGAGTCACACAGAGATCCATAGAGTCACACAGAGATCCATAGAGTTACACAGAGATCCATAGAGTTACACAGAGATCCATAGAGTCACACAGAGATCCATAGAGTCACACAGAGATCCATAGAGTCACACAGAGATCCATAGAGTCACACAGAGATCCATAGAGTTACACAGAGATCCATAGAGTTACACAGAGATCCATAGAGTTACACAGAGATCCATAGAGTTACACAGAGATCCATAGAGTCACACAGAGATCCATAGAGGCACACAGAGATCCATAGAGTTACACAGAGATCCATAGAGTTACACAGAGATCCATAGAGTCACACAGAGATCCATAGAGTTACACAGAGATCCATAGAGTTACACAGAGATCCATAGAGTTAGACAGAGATCCATAGAGTCACACAGAGATCCAGAGAGTTACACAGAGATCCATAGAGTTACACAGAGATCCATAGAGTTACACAGAGATCCATAGAGTCACACAGAGATCCATAGAGTTACACAGAGATCTATAGAGTCACACAGAGATCCATTGAGTCACACAGAGATCCATAGAGTCACACAGAGATCCATAGAGTCACACAGAGATCCATAGAGTTACACAGAGATCCATAGAGTTACACAGAGATCCATAGAGTCACACAGAGATCCATAGAGTCACACAGAGATCCATAGAGTCACACAGAGATCCATAGAGTCACACAGAGATCCATAGAGTTACACAGAGATCCATAGAGTTACACAGAGATCCATAGAGTTACACAGAGATCCATAGAGTTACACAGAGATCCATAGAGTCACACAGAGATCCATAGAGGCACACAGAGATCCATAGAGTTACACAGAGATCCATAGAGTCACACAGAGATCCATAGAGGCACACAGAGATCCATAGAGTTACACAGAGATCCATAGAGTTACACAGAGATCCATAGAGTCACACAGAGATCCATAGAGTCACACAGAGATCCATAGAGTTACACAGAGATCCATAGAGTTACACAGAGATCCATAGAGTCACACAGAGATCCAGAGAGTCACACAGAGATCCATAGAGTTACACAGAGATCCATAGAGTTACACAGAGATCCATAGAGTCACACAGAGATCCATAGAGTTACACAGAGATCCATAGAGTTACACAGAGATCCATAGAGTTACACAGAGATCCATAGAGTTACACAGAGATCCATAGAGTTACACAGAGATCCATAGAGTTACACAGAGATCCATAGAGTTACACAGAGATCCATAGAGTTACACAGAGATCCAGAGTCACACAGAGATCCATAGAGTTACACAGAGATCCAGAGTCACACAGAGATCCATAGAGTTACACAGAGATCCATAGAGTTACACAGAGATCCAGAGTCACACAGAGATCCATAGAGTTACACAGAGATCCATAGAGTTACACAGAGATCCATAGAGTTACACAGAGATCCATACAGTCACACAGAGATCCATAGAGTCACACAGAGATCCATAGAGGCACACAGAGATCCATAGAGTTACACAGAGATCCATAGAGTTACACAGAGATCCATAGAGTTACACAGAGATCCATAGAGTCACACAGAGATCCAGAGAGTTACACAGAGATCCATAGAGTTACACAGAGATCCAAAGAGTTACACAGAGATCCATAGAGTCACACAGAGATCCATAGAGTTACACAGAGATCTATAGAGTCACACAGAGATCCATTGAGTCACACAGAGATCCATAGAGTCACACAGAGATCCATAGAGTCACACAGAGATCCATAGAGTTACACAGAGATCCATAGAGTTACACAGAGATCCATAGAGTCACACAGAGATCCATAGAGTCACACAGAGATCCATAGAGTCACACAGAGATCCATAGAGTCACACAGAGATCCATAGAGTTACACAGAGATCCATAGAGTTACACAGAGATCCATAGAGTTACACAGAGATCCATAGAGTTACACAGAGATCCATAGAGTCACACAGAGATCCATAGAGGCACACAGAGATCCATAGAGTTACACAGAGATCCATAGAGTTACACAGAGATCCATAGAGTCACACAGAGATCCATAGAGTCACACAGAGATCCATAGAGTCACACAGAGATCCATAGAGTCACACAGAGATCCATAGAGTTACACAGAGATCCATAGAGTTACACAGAGATCCATAGAGTTACACAGAGATCCATAGAGTTACACAGAGATCCATAGAGTCACACAGAGATCCATAGAGGCACACAGAGATCCATAGAGTTACACAGAGATCCATAGAGTTACACAGAGATCCATAGAGTCACACAGAGATCCATAGAGTCACACAGAGATCCATAGAGTTACACAGAGATCCATAGAGTTACACAGAGATCCATAGAGTCACACAGAGATCCAGAGAGTCACACAGAGATCCATAGAGTTACACAGAGATCCATAGAGTTACACAGAGATCCATAGAGTCACACAGAGATCCATAGAGTTACACAGAGATCCATAGAGTTACACAGAGATCCATAGAGTTACACAGAGATCCATAGAGTTACACAGAGATCCATAGAGTTACACAGAGATCCATAGAGTTACACAGAGATCCATAGAGTTACACAGAGATCCATAGAGTTACACAGAGATCCATAGAGTTACACAGAGATCCATAGAGTCACACAGAGATCCATAGAGTTACACAGAGATCCATAATCACACAGAGATCCATAGAGTTACACAGAGATCCATAGAGTTACACAGAGATCCATAGAGTTACACAGAGATCCATAATCACACAGAGATCCATAGAGTCACACAGAGATCCATAGAGTCACACAGAGATCCATAGAGTCACACAGAGATCCATAGAGTTACACAGAGATCCATAGAGTTACACAGAGATCCATAGAGTTACACAGAGATCCATAGAGTCACACAGAGATCCATAGAGTCACACAGAGATCCATAGAGTCACACAGAGATCCATAGAGTTGCACAGAGATCCATAGAGTTACACAGAGATCCATAGAGTTACACAGAGATCCATAGAGTCACACAGAGATCCATAGAGTTACACAGAGATCCATAGAGTTACACAGAGATCCATAGAGTCACACAGAGATCCATAGAGTCACACAGAGATCCATAGAGTTACACAGAGATCCATAGAGTTACACAGAGATCCATAGAGTTACACAGAGATCCATAGAGTCACACAGAGATCCATAGAGTTACACAGAGATCCATAGAGTTACACAGAGATCCATAGAGTTACACAGAGATCCATAGAGTCACACAGAGATCCATAGAGTTACACAGAGATCCATAGAGTTACACAGAGATCCATAGAGTTACACAGAGATCCATAGAGTTACACAGAGATCCATAGAGTCACACAGAGATCCATAGAGTCACACAGAGATCCATAGAGTTACACAGATCCATAGAGTCACACAGATCCATAGAGTCACACAGAGATCCATAGAGTCACACAGAGATCCATAGAGTTACACAGAGATCCATAGAGTTACACAGAGATCCATAGAGTTACACAGAGATCCATATAGTCACACAGAGATCCATAGAGTCACACAGAGAACCATAGAGTTACACAGAGATCCATAGAGTTACACAGAGATCCATAGAGTTACAGAGATCCATAGAGTCACACAGAGATGCATATAGTTACACAGAGAACCAAAGAGTTACACAGCGATCCATAAAGTCACACAGAGATCCATAGAGTCACACAGAGATCCATAGAGTCACACAGAGATCCATAGAGTTACACAGAGATCCATAGAGTTACACAGAGATCCATAGAGGCACACAGAGATCCATAGAGTCACACAGAGATCCATAGAGTCACACAGAGATCCATAGAGTCACACAGAGATCCATAGAGTCACACAGATATCCATAGAGTTACACGGAGATCCATAGAGTTACACAGAGATCCATAGAGGCACACAGAGATCCATAGAGTTACACAGAGATCCATAATCACACAGATATCCATAGAGTTACACAGAGATCCATAGAGTCACACAGAGATCCATAGAGTTACAGAGAGATCCATAGAGTCACACAGAGATCCATAGAGTTACACAGAGATCCATAGAGTCACACAGAGATCCATAGGGTTACACAGAGATCCATATAGTTACACAGAGATCCATAGAGTCACACAGAGAACCATAGAGTTACACAGAGATCCATAGAGTTACACAGAGATCCATAGAGTTACAGAGATCCATAGAGTCACACAGAGATGCATA